TGTATTTAAGACATTTTCCGCTTTTGCCCAACTTTTGACATATATTGCTATATGTGTTTTATACTTGGGAGTGTCTACCAGCGTCTACACAAGTGGGATATACCACATTTAATGATGATTGTATGTAAATGGCGTTGTCCTGTAGTCTCGGAGTTACCCGCGAGACGTGTTCAGACACACACATTATTGGCCATACCTAGTGTGTGCTGCTTTAACGGCTATTATTGATGAAACACCAGTTTTAGTGTATCTACCAATATGTAGCAAATGTTCTTATTTTCAAGTTCCATTTTTCTTTATTTTGAAGGATGAAATAAAATAATGAAAAAGATACATCGATGATTTCATTGATAAAAGAAACTATTTTCCGTTTTCGTACTCCAGTTAAACAGCATTCTTGTTGATTCAAGTTTTAAGTAAAACAATCAAACCATCGAAAACAAACTTTATCGTACTAAAGTGTGTAAAACATAGTGATTTGTTGTAATGTTACATTATATATCTATATAAAGAAAAAGTGACATTCATTCTTGCAGATATTTACGAGTATAGAGATTTCCAAAGGAATCTTACGCTCTGTTTCATTTTATGTATCAGCCAGTATGTAAGTATATCAACACTCTACTATACACTATCCAGCTCCGGCCACCAACGATCTACAGGTCTCTTGTACTGTATGTTTTACAAGAACAGATCATTGGAAAGTATAAGAATAACGTTTTCTGATTTAATCACGTTCTTATGATACATAAACATAGTTATAAAACAAAGTCGATCTAGAGTTGGTAGGCTGTAGGTATATGCACATAAACTTAACAGGTTTGTCTGTAGATTTCGTTACTTTGAATTGGTGGAACTTGTTTTTTCAAGATGTGATATATGTGTTTATTGGTTTTTAGCTAAACAGTCATTGACATACAATTTATATAAATATAAAAAAAATGATTTGGGAAATCCAACTCAAGAATCTGTGATGAAATGTTTTATCCAAGCCCTCGTATTTACCTTCGATAGTAACACACATGTCGAGGTCGTATTGGAAATATAATACCTACTTAATATTCTAAACAATTATCTTGTAACAACGTTCCGTACAGTATTGCTAGTCGGTTTTCACCATTCATTCAATTTTAGCTACAGGTAAAACGTGAATATGAAGGCACTGTCTTCACTGAAATATGTCAATCTTCAGTTGGTAGACCACGCCCACTCGCACATGGTAACTAGGGACGCAAACATAGTAAAAATATAGCTGCCGTAACTCCTAACCTTGCCGCAATATATTTTAATCAATGTAAGATATTCACGAGAAAATATGATACATAGAACTGCATATACCAGTAATGTCATGTGAACAAAATGCTGGTTGTCAGTGATACAGATATATATGAAGATATCTAGGTCGATTCAAGAAAGCGATTTTCTCTAATAAAGGAATTGCATTTTCACGTATCAAGTAGCTGAAATCACTGACTCGATGTATAAGCAGACGTTTGATGTGAGCTGTATGTACCGATCATTAAAAAAATCTGTGTTGTGAACCAGTTAAGTTACATATGAAAATAAATATAACAGTCATAGATTTTAAATATCCCTTACTTATGCTAAACATGTTCAAGTGGGTATATGACATGTAATGTTTTTGTTTATTTTCAATTAAAATCATATATGGTATGATATATAATGTGTATTCATGAACGTATTTTGAAAGTAATTTTCTCGACCTTGTAAAACCGTGTAGGTATCTACATCATATATTGGAAACATCTCCGACTCACAACAGTTAGTATATACAAATATACTGACTTGTTCAATAACAATGAAATATGAGAATCTGTGTTTCCACAGTACATATATGTGCATATGCACCGTCGCAAGTTTTCTATATGTACACACGTTTATATTCAATCGAGTATCGTTAAAGGAATTGTTGTGTGAACAGAATCAATTCCTGACATGACTGTGGTTAATGAATGATGTTTATCGACGTGTGAAAGCTGGTAGCATGGTAACAAGAAAACACATGTAAACTTTCGCCGTTCTAGTGTCTGCTTAACAAACTTTGTCTTTTATATCAACGTAAAAAGATATCATTTTAAATCTTAGGTTTTCGTACAGGTTCTGGCTCGTTTCAAGTTCACCATAATACACGGTTTCTTATTATAGATGCAAGCAGACACTTCATTTAAAGATTGGCTATTCAATTTTATAATGAAATATTAAACCATACGATTTTATCTTCGGGTGAAATTAAGATGGATAATGTAGGACAGGAAACATAGAACTCCTTAAAGATATTGTATATAGGGAGTCCCTGTCGGCCTTCGGATATCCTCGGTATTTTACTAATATAGTGGTAATTTTATGATTTAGTTTGTCTGTAGTAATCAATGTGTTCCTGTCTCCTCCTGAATTCTTGTTGGTTTGGTGTCTATATGGGCTTGCTGTCTTCAGAGTGTATTTCGGTTTGGTTTGTCGGCATAATGATCTCATTGGGAAATATGACCTTTCTGTGCTCCATATGAGATGTCGAAGAAGCATAAGATGTTAACCCTTCTTGAACACTTGGTCTTTTTGTACTCTGAAGCATAAGATTTTCACACTTCTTAAACACCTGGTCTTGTTCTCCTTTGAAACATCAGATGTTTTTTCCTGGAACACTTTGTCTTTTTCTCCTCTGAAGCACCAGATTTTTACCCTTTGTGAACACCTGGTCTTTTTCTCATCTAAAGCATCAGATTTTTACCCTTTGTGAACAGCTGGTCTTGTTCTCCTCTGAAGCATAAGATTTTACCCTTCTGTAACACCTGTTCATGTTCTTCTGTTCAAGGATCTACATGTTAATATTTCCTTAGTTCCTATTTTTCCAATCTGTATTGATTTCAATTTTCAGTTTTATCTTACGATAATGCTGGTGTTATCTTGTTTCTGGTTGACAACATCTTCGTCGAGTTTGTTCTTGAGATTTTCCAACAGACTTTTAGCATACCAGGTACCATGGGAACTGTGTCCCTCTGTTTATCGACTTGTTTTGTTTTTATACCAGGCTGAATGAATCGAAGGGCTAATCAAAACAGGTAACAAAGACACATTAAGATATATTGATGATGTCTTGTTTTTAAATAGAAAGAGATTTATTGACAACGTCCATTATATATACCCATCAGAATTGGAAACCAAGGAGATACGACAGACTCTTTTACATCAGCCGATTTTTCGATCTTTTCCTACAAAGGAAATTAACAAGGACAGCTTTCCACCGACCGAACTTTGTGATAAGCATGATGATTTCAATTTCTTTGTTGAGACAACGATTTTTGTGCAGGAAGCTGATGAATTTCGTAAGACGCAGGTTGATGAAAATGATATGGAAGTTTTACGGTCGTCATAGTAATCTCATTGATAAATATTCTTTTTCTTTGTCCGACATAAAGCTGGACCTGTGTCGTGCTAATTAGCTTGCGTATGGGTTCCGTTGTTGTTTACCTTGTCCTCATTTGAGAACGTGACATTACTTACTGGCATAGCCCAAGATTCATATGGTGGAAGTCGTCGATGAAGCAACAAGACGCTCACTCTTCTGGAACACCTGTTCTTTTTTTCTTTGTTCTTTTTCAGTAGTCTCCTTGTAAATCTTTCTTTTATTCATATTTTGCCCTAGTTTTATTGAATCTGAGTTGAATTATGAATATGATGTTTTCTTGTCGTACCTGTTGGCACATTTTGTCTGTAATTAGATCCTGTAAATTTATTTCAGTTCCTATTCCACTGTTGTGTTAAGAAGGGTGTACATTTACTCTCGAAAAAAAAGGTAGGTGATGGCTATGTTATTGAACAACATAATGATAGACCATCGCATACCATAACATTGTCTTCATGTTGAAAACATAAATTAATTTGGTATTCTGGTATCACAACCAGTTAGAAATTATTTGTAACGTTCAGTAAATAGTGTCCATAATAAAGAATGACCAGTGGTAAAAAGGTCTGATGAATGTGATATTGAAGTCGTCAAAGATGCAACACAAAATTTGTTTAAATGGCTGAGACATGCGGACATCTATTCAGTGTTATATATCAGTGTTTAGTAAACCGGAAACCATGTTCATTTTCAGTAATGTATATAGCAATACCTCAATCAAAATAATCACCGAAATGGTTATCATATCTGAAAGCAGAAGCGGCATGATTACTTAATCTTGGGTTTATATTATCTCAGATTTACAAATACGGATGTTTATGATAGCGCGTCTTCTGAAAGCATCTTGATGATAGCAAAAACGTCTAACTTAATCAAATACTCTTCATTATTACACCATTACTCGCAACATATTTTTATTTCTATTTAGATAAAACTCAGAGAAGCAACATCAAAATTAGTTATCAATATAAACAGTGTCCCTGTCTTAACACAAATGCTTTTGTAAAGGAATATGTATTGATCATTATAGAAAAAATCCGAACCAGTTAAATTGAAATTTACATTTACTTATGTTGTTATATGTGTTTAAAGCTAACAACAGGCTATAAATATAAAGCCCATTTCACTAACTGGTTAGATTACAACCCATCGGGATTGGACGTTCAAATACATTTCACTAGAATGTGATTTCCATTTTGATTCCCAAAACAAATTATGTGTCTAAAATACATATAATTGGACTACAGAATTTTAGCAAACCTCAACTTCAAGTGTTTAAGTATCTATCTTAGATATATCCACCTCATGGATAGAAAACCGTATTGATTTGCAAAAACATTACAAAAATTACTTATGTAAAATATTTATTAGAAAAAACGGTAGTTTGGCTTTACGAGCGTGCAAAACATTATAGCAACATATGTTAGAGCAAGTATTATTCTATCAAAACATGCATAGAGAAAGTAGGTGACCATCCAGTTCTTGTAGTGTACGTAATTGTGGAGTCACAGGTATTTTCCTTATTCTGGATCTTCAGAAATCTTTCAGTTAGCAAGTTACAGACACAGCTTATGGTGGGTTACTTATTTGTGACATGAATCTTACTGAACATTAGGCCAAATGTTTCACAAACTGGTGCCAAGAAGCAGTTAACGACAGTACCGAAGAACTTCTGTGCGCAGCCGCAGTAGATGGAGAAGACTCTGAGAGAAGGAGTGATGCACCAGATTTGATCGAAAGCAATAATGGCAAACTCACAGCCCCAGTATAGAGCGATGCAAATTCCACAAAGACATGTCATGAACTTGTAGCAGCAGTTTTTACCGCAGTTGAAACACCAGTAGCTGTTCTTCCATACACAGTCAATGCTGTTGATACCTACAGGTTCTCCAAGGACATCTTCAAACGAAACCTTGGAAAGAAAAGGTATTTTCTGGATAAAAATATATCACGATCGAGGCAGAATTGTTATGAAATAAATATAATAAATTGTAGATATACTATTCTTCAGCATCAAGTTGTCTGTTTGTGATTAGAGATGTTCATATCGTTATTACAAAGTTCTTTTGAATAATACTCATTTCTCACATTCATATTAATTCATTAATTGAAATATATCACGTGTAAATGATTATTTTGAAAGAACAAGATGTCAGATTCAGTCATTTTAATTCAAATCGATTGTAGAAATGGCAAACGCATATGCTTCTTTTTTCACTAGGTTTCACAGCACTGCAGTTGTCTAAGCTCTGAGTATTTAAAGGATTAATTATTGCGGTATACTTGTTTAGCATCTACTAAAGTTAGTTATAATATAAAATAACGTAGAATTTATACAGTCATTGATGATACATCTTACAAACTATGAATTTGTAAAAAGTCTAATTCAATTTGTGTAATTGAAGTATAGAGATACATACCTGAACATTGTCATTCAATGAGTTAGGATCTCTGTTTTCCATATCAAGCTCCATGATGATGATTACTTGACAATACCTACAGGTCAAATGTGAGCTCAGAAAGAAATGATGTTATTTTATCAGTGGAATATCTTTGATGGTATATTTTTTTTTATTGGTTTACATTTTTTGTTGATAGCGACCAATATCTCCAATGGTATTTAACTATTGCTTTTATATACCACGTGTTTCATGGATTCGTTTCGTCTTAGAAATGCGGCTTACTGATATACATCATCACATTAGTAATTTCCTTAAGGTGCAATGAACCTTTACCATCTCAACAATGGTCCATGTATGGTGTATTCAGACCAACGCCGAACCCAATATATGGTCTTCAGTAATGAAAATTTGCATCATGCTGTTTTAGAAATTCTGTGAAGCAGATCCTTACCTAATGGTACGATATTGACTGAGGGAAATTCAAATATAACAAATCAACGTCTAAATTAAGGGAGATAACTTAGAGGGAATTAACTGACAGCAAAAGCTGATTCAAAATGTTTGCAGTAAGGATTTAATTAATCATTCAATTTAACCCAATTCAACCAATAAAGTAAGTGTCCTTCTTCTTAATTTAATTTGTTTATTGAGCTGAGCAGCCATCATCATCAAGCTAGTTTGAAGTTACCTTCATACACTTTCGTGACACTGTAAACCACTTACATGTATATTTCGCCTGGGATTCATTTTTACGAAAATAACTCTTGACATCCAAGCTGATTCAGTTGCCGATGAATTAACATCTTAAGATAAGGAATTATGAAATTAGTATGGAGTATGACGAAACACACCTCTCAATCTAAATCATTTTCAGCACGTTTCTAATAGGTTCGTAGGACAAAGCAGCTGTATGAATCAGTTCACTGCAGTATCAGACTCTACTGTCTCTAGTTCTAACTTTGTATTGAATGGTTCTATTCACTTGCGTGTTAGTGTACAGTTATTTATTAGTCAGTGACGCTTTGTGGGAAATGTTCCTTGTCAATGTATCTATTGGTGCGTGCCATCAAGTGTAAGGTTATGAATATGTGACGAAGACTAATATTGACATTAAGGGCATCATTGACACATACTTATCATTTGATTATCGGCAAGAATCAGTGATGCATAGAGCTGATACAAACTACCAGTAGGGATAGATAATTTATTTTTTCTAAACATGGTTTATATATAAATGGGTTAAATGGTATAAAAATGAGCTCGCATGTAAGAATCTTTTTTGCAATTCTCATAATAATGAAGTATAATACAAATTTCGAGAGAGGGAACGGACTAGATATTAAAAGATGGGTTTTGGTGAAAGGGTTGTGGAAGAGCTGTAGGAATCTCAACAACTTATTATATATTCCTAATTCATTTTACTTTACAAAGTGTGAAGAATATGGTGATAGTATTTCTGATACATATTTAATGAAAAGGTCTGGAAAATTCCAAATTTAGCAAGCATTTCGTAGTGACACCCCGTACTTTTGCGACAAGACATTTCACCCTTATAGCAGTAACTTGCAGGCAACGAACCTCATTCATGATAGTCATTGAAACAAAGTGACCTCAGCTGCTCATGGGACGATAAAGCATCTAAAACCACCAAAACCCCCATTTTTCAATTAAGTGAGAATCAATCAATAACATTGAACTTCAGAGGAACACGAGTAAACAGTTATTAGTAATAGGGGACAGTTTTATAACGTTCTGAGAAATGTCAAAATGAAGCATGTTAAAAATGATATAAAACGCGACAATTTACGAGACAAAATCATGTTAAGATCACAGAAAAATATTAAGAGAATAAGAACTGATGTTCTTGCAAGATATGCACAATATTCCTTCAAATTCAAATACAAAACAATATTACGTTCCTCTGAAATGTCATTAAAATTGCCACACAGTAATAGGAAAACTGAGGTTTCATTTTTCCGTCATTCTTTTAAGCAAAGATGCACGTTTGTCAGGTGAATCTCTCTTTCCATCAGCAGTTTATTTCCAGTGAAAAGAAGATATATTCAAGATATTGATGTAATTTCACCTTCTAATGGAACATTGAAACCCACGTATAATGGACGTATAATGCATACACGGCACCTTGTATCATTTTGTGAAACTATTGTCCGACTGTGTGTGTTTTCCACGGGTACTTCGGTTTTCTCCCAATGCAAAACCCTTTATACGTTTCCGTCTGGGCCAACAAAGGTGATCAGTATAAGTTGGATAAATTATCATGCAATCGTTGTCAAATTAAGTATAAATCAAAATAAACTTACACTTAGGTTTAACTCAATTTTTAATTTACGTTGAAAAGTGAACATATTTTAGAGGATGTTTATCTTTAAGAGAGCGACGGAACACTTCATACTCAACACCGAGAAACGCTGAAACACAAGTATAGTACAATCAAGCATTAGATTTTAATATATCAAAATTACGAGTATAGACACAATGCAAGATTTATACATGATTATATCAACAAACAACACTTACTTTGATTTGTATCACAGATATGCATAACAAGCTTTGTTGTTCTCCGGAGACGTAAATCAGTGTATGTTATCATTTCTAACACATCGTGAACTTTCTTTAGCTGTTAAATGTGCGGTAATTTTTATATCTCATGATTATTTTTTCACTCTTATTCGACATATTCATATAGGACGTGATTATGATTTTAGTATTAGGCTAAAGTATGATTAAATAGTAATGCTACAATTATACAGAAACCGTTGTTATAGTCAGGATGTAAACAGCACATGTTTTGTTTTGTTTAAAACTCTTGTCTTTTCCACAAGACTTTCCAGAAATTGAAATTCAGTTATGGCACTATTCTCAATAGAATCAGCAATGTAAGTCTTACTTATGAGCCGAACTGATCACACAATCCGTCTTTATCTACAGAACAGTTGCTGCTAGAAGGTGGACCTCTGACCCCCTTCGCCGTGGTTGACTGATATTTGACTGAAGAACAAACCACAGGTTTGGCAAATAGGGGCCATGCAGCAATTGACGATAATCGTGAAGTACTTTTGGAAGCTTCCACAGTAGATAGCAAATATTCTCAGCGTTGGGGTCACGCACCAAATCTGCTCAAATGCTATGAATGCGAATTCACATCCCCAGTATAACGAGATGCACAACCCACACAGACATGTCATGCAGCGATAGGCGCAGTTTTTACCACAGTTGAAACAGCAGTAACTGGCCTTCCATACACAGTCACAGCTGTGGATTCCATCTGGTTCGGCAAGGACATCTTCAAATGCAACCTGTCAGAGAAAATGTGTACTTATTTATCACTCGAAGACAATATCCGTGATTCGAAGTTAAATTTATGCATTGAAAAATCTCGGTCACGTACAATAGATATTATGTTGTCATCAATTCACTTTAGGTTTCATTGAATTTAGACTTAATCTCAAAATATTATGGTGTTGTCGAATTATATCATCACTACTAGGTGGTTTAAAACATTGGTTTTGAAATACCTGAAAAAGTTTTCCCGATGTTTATCACGATGTCTCGAATTTCAGCAACTTTATTGATGATTAAAAATTTGCTTAATAAATGCAAAATTAATAAATAATGATGGTAAAAACCAATCTAACCTTGGTGGTGGAGTTGATGTCATTTGGATCTCTGTCTGTCAGATTACAGCTCATTGTTTCTGTGGTTTAGTCGACTCTTCTACTCTGTGACAACTTTCGGCAACTGCTTGTTGGAACCACGGCCATTGTGTTTTATCCCTGTTGAATGCCATGGCTACAGTGTTGGTGTCGAGCCTTAGATACGGTATCCCAGTGTTATCGATCGTTCCAGGTTCGTACCTGTCACATTGTCATTACTGTCAAGTCTTATTGTTTCCCGAAATCTAAGTGTTAAATAAAGTGTGACATCACCTAGAATGAGCATCAGGAAGTAAAAGGAATGCCTTTGAAAGGAGATATGTATATTTGTAGCACCTGGTATCTGTTGCAGTCAAGAATTTCAGTTAATCGTGGACAAGTTAGGCTAAAACGCTAGATACTTAATATACGTTTAATAATTAACAAGGTGTTCGAAAAACACGACGCCATCCCTCTGGAGAAGGAAACACTAGATATATTTTGGATTGATTGTTCGTTCAGACATGCAATGCAACAAGAACTATAATTGGTTACGTGTGAAGGTATGTTATTCCTGCTCTTGTATCTATCTCTGCTCAACTGAGTCTCAAGCCCTTTGAATTACTAAGCACCATCAACCCTTCCGTATAACAGTGAACTAAATTACAACAGTGATCGCAAATTCCGAGATTTCGCGATCGGTCGTCAACGGTCTAAGAAACCAGATCTTTGACCAGGTGTTAGTGAAAATTTCAAATTGTTGCTACTGCACAAACTAAAGCGTTATCGGCAAAAGTACGACAAAAAAAATACTGTACAGCTGGTAATTTCACGGGTTAAAATTTCCACGATTTTCAAATAAAACGATCTAACAACGAATGAAAAAAAAAATCGCGATCTGGATGTAAAAGAACATCATAGACATGATATGAAAAAGTAATAGTTAATGTGAAAATACATTATCCCACGATCGTCTTTACTTAACAAATATTTCTAATGTCTGAATATCCCAATTTGGTTTTAAAATCATATTAGCACGACGGTATTCCGGAGAACGACGTCTAACAATGAAATCAGATCACAGAAATATTTCAATGTAGACTCGTCAGTTTACTTGTATGGACTGAGAAAAGCTAGACACGGCAATATCCTAAAGGTAAATTAGGTTTTATAGACTCGTCAGTTTACTTGTATGGACTGAGAAAAGCTAGACACGGCAATATCCTAGAGGTAAATTAGGTTTTATAGACTCGTCAGTTTACTTGTATGGACTGAGAAAAGCTAGACACGGCAATATCCTAGAGGTGAATTAGGTTTTATAGACTCGTTAAGATACTCGTGGAAACTGAGCTAATCTAGACACGGCAATGTCCTAGAGGTGAATTAGGTATTATAGACTCGTTAAGATACTCGTGGAAACTGAGCTAATCTAGACACGGTAATGTCCTAGAGGTGAATTAGGTATTATAGACTCGTTAAGATACTCGTGGAAACTGAGCTAATCTAGACACGGTAATGTCCTAGAGGTGAATTAGGTATTATAGACTCGTTAAGATACTCGTGGAAACTGAGCTAATCTAGACACGGCAATGTCCTAGAGGTGAATTAGGTATTATAGACTCGTTAAGATACTCGTGGAAACTGAGCTAATCTAGACACGGTAATGTCCTAGAGGTGAATTAGGTTTTATAGACTCGTGAAGACACTCGTGGGAACTGAGGTAATCTAGATACAGCAATATCCTAGAAGTCAAAAAGGTTATATAGACTTGATAAGATACTCGTGGGAACTGAGGTAATCTAGATACAGCAATATCCTAGAGGTCAAAAAGGTTATATAGACTTGATAAGATACTCGTGGGAACTGAGGTAATCTAGTCACGGCAACATCCTAGAGGTACATTAGGTCATATAGACTCGTTAAGATACTCGTGAGAACTGAGGTTATCTAGACACGGCAACATCCTGAAGTAATTAAAGTCATATAGACGCGTTAAGATACTCGTGGGAACTGAGGTAATCTAGTCACGTCAACATCCTAGAGGTACATTAGGTCATACAGACTCGTTAAGACACTCGTGGGAACTGAGCTAATCTAGACACGGCAATACCCTAGGGGTAAGTAAGGTTATATATACTTGTTAAGATCCTCGTGTGAACTGAGCTAATCTAGACACGGCAATGTCCTATTTGAGTACGAGATCATGCTAACAAGACAATATCATGAGAAAGAATATCATATAGATACGGAAATGTCATATTGTTAGATTGATTAATCTAGACAAGACAATGTCCATTTAGAAAATAAAGACGTGGTACGTCATAAAAAGAAAATAAGGTCATATAGACACGGTATTGTCCTAGAGAGAAATTAAGGTTACTCCCGTGGACCTTGTCCTTGAGAGAATGTGTCTATAGTACATTATTCAAGATAGAAATTAGGTCATACAGACATGGCATTGTTAGTCCTACATTGTCCTTAGTGTCTATAGTACAGACGGTAGGATGTTACTCTCGTGTTAGACCTACATGAGTGTCTACAGCACAAACGGTAAGACGTTACTTCCGTGTTAGTCCTACATCAGTGTCTATAGTACAGACGTTAAGACGTTACTCCCGTGTTAGTCCTACATCAATGTCTATAGTACAGACGGTAAGACGTTAATCCCACCTTAGTCCTACACCAGTGCCTGTAGTACAGACGGTAAGACGTTACTCCCGTGTTAGTCCTACATCAGTGTCTATAGTACAGACGGTAAGACGTTACTCCCGTGTTAGTCCTACATCAGTGTCTATAGTACAGACGGTAAGACGTTACTCCCGTGTTAGTCCTACATCAGTGTCTATAGTACAGACGGTAAGACGTTACTCCCGTTAGTTGTCTATAGTACAGACAATAAGCTACATCAGTGTCTATAGTACAGAGTGTCTATAGACGTTACTCCCGTGTTAGTCCTACATCATTGTCTATAGTACAGACGGTAAGACGTTACTCCCGTGTTAGTCCTACATCAGTGTCTATAGTACAGACGGTAAGACGTTACTCCCGTGTTAGTCCTACATCAGTGTCTATAGTACAGACAGTAAGCTGTTACTCCCGTGTTAGTCCTACATCAGTGTCTACAGCACAGACGGTAAGACGTTACTCCTATGTCAGTCGGACATCAGTGTCTACAGCACAGACGGTAAGATGTTACTCCTATGTCAGTCCTACATCATTGTCTACAGCACAGACGGTAAGATGTTACTGTCGTGTTAGTCCTACATCAGTGTCTATAGTACAGACGGTAAGACGTTACTCCCGTGTTAGTCCTACATCAGTGTCTATAGTACAGACGGTAAGATGTTACTGTCGTGTTAGTCCTACATCAGTGTCTATAGTACAGACGGTAAGACGTTACTCCCGTGTTAGTCCTACATCAGTGTCTATAGTACAGACGGTAAGATGTTACTGTCGTGTTAGTCCTACATCAGTGTCTACAGCACAGACGGTAAGACGTTACTCCCGTGTTAGTCCTACATCAGTGTCTATAGTACAGACGGTAAGACGTTACTCCTATGTCAGTCCTACATCAGTGTCTACAGCACAGACGGTAAGATGTTACTCCTATGTCAGTCCTACATCAGTGTGTACAGCACAGACGGTAAGATGTTACTGTCGTGTTAGTCCTACATCTGTGTCTATAGTACAGACGGTAAGACGTTACTCCCGTGTTAGTCCTACATCAGTGTCTATAGTACAGACGGTAAGATGTTACTGTCGTGTTAGTCCTACATCAGTGTCTACAGCACAGACGGTAAGACGTTACTCCCGTGTTAGTCCTACATCAGTGTCTATAGTACAGACGGTAAGACGTTACTCCCGTGTTAGTCCTACATCAGTGTCTATAGTACAGACGTTAAGACGTTACTCTCGTGTTAGTCCTACATCTGTGTCTATAGTACAGACGGTAAGATGTTACTGTCGTGTTAGTCCTACATCAGTGTCTATAGCACAGACGGTAAGATGTTACTGTCGTGTTAGTCCTACATCAGTGTCTATAGTACAGACGGTAAGACGTTACTCCCGTGTTAGTCCTACATCATTGTCTATAGCACAGACGGTAAGATGTTACTGTCGTGTTAGTCCTACATCAGTGTCTATAGTACAGACGGTAAGATGTTACTGTCGTGTTAGTCCTACATCAGTGTCTATAGTATAGACGGTAAGATGTTACTGTCGTGTTAGTCCTACATCAGTGTCTATAGTACAGACGTTAAGACGTTACTCCCGTGTCAGTCCTACATCAGTGTCTATAGTACAGACGGTAAGACGTTACTCCCGTGTTAGTCCTACATCAGTGTCTATAGTACAGACGGTAAGACGTTACTCCCGTGTTAGTCCTACATCAGTGTCTATAGTACAGACGGTAAGACGTTACTCCCGTGTTAATCCTACATCAGTGTCTACAGCACAGACGGTAAGACGTTACTCCCGTGTTAGTCCTACATCAGTGTCTACAGCACAGACGGTAAGACGTTACTCCCGTGTTAGTCCTATATCAGTGTCTATAGTACAGACGGTAAGCTGTTACTCCCATGTTAGTCCTACATCAGTGTCTACAGCACAGACGGTAAGATGTTATTGTCGTGTTAGTCCTACTTCATTGTCTACAGCACAGACGGTAAGACGTTACTCCCGTGTTAGTCCTACATCAGTGTCTACAGCACAGACGGTAAGACGTTACTCCCGTGTTAGTCCTACATCAGTGTCTACAGCACAGACGGTAAGCTGTTACTCCCGTGTTAGTCCTACATCAGTGTCTACAGCACAGACGGTAAGACGTTACTCCCGTGTTAGTCCTACATCATTGTCTACAGTACAGACGGTAAGCTGTTACTCCCGTGTTAGTCCTACATCAGTGTCTATAGTACAGATGGTAAGACGTTACTCCCGTGTCAGTCCTACATCAGTATGTATAATACGGACGGTAAGACGTTACTCCCGTGTTAGTCCTTCATCAGTGTCTATAGTACAGACGGTAAGCTGTTACTCCCGTGTTAGTCCTACATCAGTGTCTATAGTACAGACGGTAAGACGTTACTCCCGTGTCAGTCCTACATCAGTGTCTATAGTACAGACGGTAAGACGTTACTCCCGTGTTAATCCTACATCAGTGTCTACAGCACAGACGGTAAGACGTTACTCCTATGTCAGTCCTACATCAGTGTCTACAGCACAGACGGTAAGACGTTACTCCCGTGTTAGTCCTATATCAGTGTCTATAGTACAGACGGTAAGCTGTTACTCCCGTGTTAGTCCTACATCAGTGTCTACAGCACAGACGGTAAGATGTTATTGTCGTGTTAGTCCTACATCATTGTCTACAGCACAGACGGTAAGACGTTACTCCCGTGTTAGTCCTACATCAGTGTCTACAGCACAGACGGTAAGACGTTACTCCCGTGTTAGTCCTACATCAGTGTCTACAGCACAGACGGTAAGCTGTTACTCCCGTGTTAGTCCTACATCATTGTCTACAGCACAGACGGTAAGACGTTACTCCCGTGTTAGTCCTACATCATTGTCTACAGTACAGACGGTAAGCTGTTACTCCCGTGTTAGTCCTACATCAGTGTCTATAGTACAGATGGTAAGACGTTACTCCCGTGTCAGTCCTACATCAGTATGTATAATACGGACGGTAAGACGTTACTCCCGTGTTAGTCCTTCATCAGTGTCTATAGTACAGACGGTAAGCTGTTACTCCCGTGTCAGTCCTACATCAGTATGTATAATACGGACGGTAAGACGTTACTCCCGTGTTAGTCCTTCATCAGTGTCTATAGTACAGACGGTAAGACGTTACTCCCATGTCAGTCCTACATCAGTATGTATGGTACGGACGGTAAGACGTTACTCCCATGTTAGTCCTACATCAGTGTCTATAGCACAGACGGTAAGACGTTACTCCCGTGTCATTCCTACATCAGTGTCTAAAATACGGACGGTAAGACGTTACTCCTATGTCAGTCCTACATCAATATGTATGGTACGGACGGTAAGACGTTACTCCCGTGTTAGTCCTACCTCAGTATGTATGGTACAGACGGTAAGACGTTATTGCCTGGCGAGTCGAATTTACTTGCGGTCGCACGTTCGATCTCAGTTACTGACATAATGATATTCTTATTATTTTTTTTTCTTTCAAAATGCGGATTTTGATTAACTGATTGAAGCGGCGATTGTCCTTAAATATGTATATATATAAATGATAGAATGTCATCTCAATGTTCAATACATGTTCAGGACTATAAAGGTAACATATTATGGAGTAATCCGACCATTGAAGTAACCTTTTGTTTTGCCTTTTCTTGTACATTTCCCAGCTTTAATCGTACACATCCATTTCCGGATTTAAACGCTCTATGATTAGTCAGGGTGACTTCGAATGCATATTTACCTATCGTCGTATTGATAAGTGCTCCGTCACAGTAAATGGCCATACCGTTTGGTGTTAGAAGTAAATGCAGTAGATCCACAACGATTTAAACTGCATCATCTAGGTTGATATATACTTTTTACTGTATAAAATTCAGTATACTGGTCCTTTGTTGGATTTAATCTATTCATTGACCTACATTTTTACACCTAAATCCCCGATGTATGCATTCATAACTAAATTATAAAACTGGTTCATCAGAGTGCGACACCAAGTCATCTGGTGCTAACGAACCGTAATTCTCGGAGCATGGAAATATCTTTCGTACGGATGATAAAATATTTATAAATACTATATTATTTATCATACAAAAAGCACGACATTTCACTGAAAGAAGTGATATATACCGGTGCTATCAAACATCGACCGTTGTTGAAAAAACAAAATAGAAAAAAAATGATCAAAATGTCAAACGGAATCTCAATTGAAAGTCAAATTCAATTAACTCAAGCAAAATAGGAACTAAAAAAAGGAGGCTCACGATAAAAGTACAAGGAGAAAAAGACCAGGAGTTCCAGAAGGGTTAACGCTTCCATTTGATAGGCGACGACAGCCATGTAAAGATTGGTCAATCCGGGCACTTAATTTAAGAAACCCCTCTTTCTGTGCGTAGCTGTGGATGTTTAAGCTAACAATCGTTTAAATAGAACATCCACGCTATATCGATAAAGGACGAAAAGGAAAATCGATGATGATACGAATTATGACAAAAGTAAAAGTGAAGTAGGAGGTGTATGTCATTAACGAAAAAATCAATATCAACAAAGAAGAACGTCAGTGATATAAAGGAAATAAACATTAATTGATGATACTGTGAAAAAGGAATGACCTGCCAAGTTGTTTATACAGTATAGGGGTATCAGTCTCTAGGAAAACATGGGTAATGGCAAGGAAAAGCTGTATCCGACCCGAGTGACTAGCTAAAGGGATATGTTCAATAAAAGATGACGTAAAACATGCATTGCCATAAATGGATCTTTATTGAATAATAGATTAATAAATAAATAACTCATTACACAGAATATATATCACATTTTAAGGTCTGATCTACACTGTAGATTAAAATGTTCTACAGTGTGATAGTACAAAGACTAAACAGTTGCTTGATGTCTCTTAGTTGAGTTAACAGTTTAACAGAAGTAGCGTGGAACGGAAACGTTCTCTTTAGTGTCGCGATCTGTTCGTTGTTATAGCATCACCAATTCTGTCATTCTTCATTCGATCTTTATCTGTGAGTTTCACACCCCAAACAGCAGGCGATTTTATCAGATTAACAGTTGGTGTGATTTATTTAGTTAATGACATGAAAGAGTCGTTGTTGTGAAATTGACGATAGTGCTGTTAAGACTTCGTCATTTGAATCTTGCTGAATATTAATCCAAATGTTTCGCAGAGAGGAGCCAAACAGCAGGTGACGCATGTACCGAAGAACTTTTGAACAATTCCACAGACAATGCCATAGGCTTTAAGAGTAGGTGTACAGCACCAGACAGCATTGAAGGTGATTATGGCGAACTCACATCCCCAGTACAGACCGATACAGATACCGCACAAAGTTGTCATGAACTTGTAGCAACAGTTCTTTCCGCATGTAAAGCACTTGTAACTGTTGGTCCAGACACAGTCGATGCTATGGGAACCTTCTGGCTCACCGAGGACATCTTCAAAAGCGATCTGGAATTAGGCAGACAGCATTCATTACAGGTAGATATTTAAGAAAGAAAACAGTGATATCAACAATTACTTGAAATGTGTAGCATTTATCACAAGTAAAGATGCCATTGAAACATAATAAATGAAACACTTAGCAGGTGTATGAAACCCACGTGGTCGGGCAGGTAACCACCTACCTCTTCACGCCCGTTACAGGAATCGAACCCCGAACGGTTAGGTGAAAGGCTCGTGCGTTACCGCTGAGCCACCCGACCAACCAATTTGATTTCTTCAATAACTTGTAACAGTTTTCCTCCTAACCAAATATCTTGAACTATTTTACAACAAACCCAGAATTTCAGGGAAACCGGTAACTATATATTTGATATTTCACAAAATACATTTAAATATTCTCTCACCTGTGCGTGCTCATTAAGTCCATTTGGATCCCTATTGAGGAGATCAACCTCTTGTTCAGCCATGTCTCAGCCTTATAGCACGTTTCAAGGCGGACTATGTTGGCACGTTTGGTGTTGGACACGGTATACCCTGGGTCCTTCTGCCTTTCCTTTATATACTTACGGTACCCATAACTACGGGAATCAAGACCCATTCATTGTTGGTTTTAAGGAAAGGGAGATACATCATCATACTTTACCTCTGTTGATATTGAAGTTTTTTTTGGAGGACTTAGCAAACAATATGTCAGTTTAAATAGAACATCGCAAATGCAATCGCGAATACGGCATTTCCTTTGTTTACAAAGATAATTGAACGCCAGCATTTAATACTTTCATATGCCTCTACACGCGGGTTACCAATACCTGACTAAGTTTATTTATATCATTTTTATTTCCGACTGAGGCACAGCAAATGTTTTTGTCTTGAAGCATACTATGGTCAGTGAGGTGAGGTACTATCAGGATCATTTACTAGTTTCCATTCATAGGAGTTCTTAACACCGTCGTAGATTTTAAAATTTATCGAGCCTCGATGACCGAGATTTGTGTCTTACTATGTCGTATTTTTGATAAGTCGGATTTGGAATTGAAGAAATCAGGAATTTTTTTCATCAGTCGTACACTATGATCGTATACGGTATTCTTTAAACCTTAATTCATATTCACCTTGGTTACTATCTAATACTGTAAATGTGTTTGATTGAGAACATACACACATATAGACACACAATCACACACAGACACACAGACACCCACCCACCCACCCACCATCACAGCGGTGACATTTCGTCATCTAAATGACCGGTCCGTCTGATGCATTAGATTTTCAATTACTTTCTATTTATATCAGTTAAAAATGAGCTATGGTCGGTATATGATAACAACAAGCTAAGGTTATGTAAATAGGATAAAAGGGCCAATTAGCGACCGAATTATGGTCAATATTATAATATTCAGCTATTTGTTTTAGGTCCTCGACACTTATAAAGACTATTCTACATTTTTGTATTTTATGAAACTAAAGACATCTTTAATATTTTGCGATTTGACTTAACATGTAACATTGAATGCAGGTCTACTTGGTACACGTCCACTTGGTCCACTTGGTACACTTGGTACTTGTTAATTTGGTACATGTTCACTTGGTATATGTCCACTTGGTACATGTCCACTTGGTACACTTGGTACATGTTCACTTGGTATATGTCCACTTGGTACATGTCCACTTAGTACATGTCCACTTGGTACATGTTAACTTGGTACATGTCCACTTGGAACTTGTTAACATGGTACATGTCCACTTGGTATACTTGGTACATGTTTACTAGGTACATGTCCACTTGGTACATGTCCACTTGGTACATGTAAACTTGGTACATGTCCATTTGGTACTTGTTAACTTGGTAGATGTCCACTTAGTACATGTTAACTTGGTACATGTTCACTGGGTACATGTCCAATTGGTATATGTCCACTTGGTACATGTCCGCTTGGTACATATTCCCTTGGTACATGTCCACTTGGTATATGTCCACTTGGTACATGTCCACTTGGTATATGTCCACTTGGTACATGTCAGCTTGGTACATGTTCACTTGGTACATGTCCACTTGGTACATGTCCATTTGGTACACTTGGTACATGTCCACTTGGTATATGTCCACTTGGTACATGTCAGCTTGGTACATGTTCACTTGGTATATGTCCACTTGGTAGATGTCCACTTGGTACATGTCCACTTGGTACTTTTAACTTGGTACATGTCCACTTGGTACATGTAAACTTGGTACACTTGATACATGTTTACTAGGTACGTGTCCACTTGGTACATGTAAACTTGGTACATGTCCATTTGGTACTTGTTAACTTGGTAGATGTCAGCTTGGTAAATGTTAACTTGGTACATGTCCACTTGGTACATGTCAGCTTGGTACATGTTCACTTGGTACACTTGGTACATGTTCACTTGGTATATGTCCACTTGGTAGATGTCCACTTGGTACATGTTAACTTGGTACATGTCCACTTGGTACTTTTAACTTGGTACATGTCCACTTGGTACATGTAAATTTGGTACACTTGGTACATGTTTACTAGGTACGTGTCCACTTGGTACATGTAAACTTGGTACATGTCCATTTGGTACTTGTTAACTTGGTAGATGTCCACTTGGTACATGTCAACTTGGAACATGTCCACTTGGTACATGTCAGCTTGGTACATGTTCACTTGGTATATGTCTACTTGGTACATGTCCACATGGTACACTTGGTACATGTTCACTTGGTATATGTCCACTTGGTACATGTCAGCTTGGTAAATGTTAACTTTGTACATGTCCACTCGGTACATGTCTACTTGGTACACTTGGTAAATGTTAACTTGGTACATGTCCACTTGGTAAACTTGGTACACTTGGTAAAATGTTAACTTGGTACATGTCCACTTGGTACATGTCAGCTTGGTACATGTTCACTTGGTATATGTCCACTTAGCACATGTCCACTTGGTACACTTGATATATGTTCACTTGGTATATGTCCACTTGCTACATGTCAGCTTGGTAAATGTTAACTTGGTACATGTCCACTTGGTACACTTGATACATGTTCACTTCGTATATGTCCACTTGGTACATGTCAGCTTGGTAAATGTTAACTATGTACATGTCCACTTGATACATGTCCACTTGGTACATGTAAACTTGGTACATGTCCATTTGGTACTTGTTAACTTGGTATATGTCCACTTGGTACATGTTAACTTGGTACATGTTCACTGGGTACATGTTCACTTGGTACATGTGCACTTGGTACATGTCCACTTGGTACATGTCCACTTGGTACACTTGGTACATGTCCACTTGGTACATGTTCACTTGGTACATGTCCACTTGGTACATGTCCACTTGGTACACTTGGTACATGTCCACTTGGTAAATGTTAACTTGGTTCATGTCCACTTGGTACACTTGGTACATGTTCACTTGGTACATGTCCACTTGGTCCACTTGGTACATGTTTACTTGGTACATGTCCACTTGGTACACTTGGTACACTTGGTACATGTACTTTTGGTACACTTGGTACACTTGGTACATGTACACTTGGTACATGTACACTTTGTACACTTTGTACATGTATACTTGGTACACTTGGTACACTTGGTACACTTGGTACATGTACACTTGGTACACTTGGTACATGTCCACTTGGTACACTTGGTACATGTACACTTGGTACACTTGGTACATGTCAACTTATAAGGTCAAGAAATGAGAACAACAAATAAATTACTGAAATGCCAACAGAATCAGATGCTAGGGCAAAATATTGGAGGAGGAAATACCCTACATACTACTGAAAAAGTAAAATACGAAAAGGTGTTACTAAGAATAGACGTTTTCTGCTTCATCAACGACACACGCCATTAACTCATGGTCTAAAAAAAGTCCTGTACAGTCTTATCTGCTTTAGTGAACTTTTTGTCAGCTTGACTGTGCTTTAAACTAGCCATTATTATTAAGCTATTTTACTTACATTTTGCCATGACCAATTACAATTACTGATAGATTAAGCTTCCTAGATTTCTTGTAACTTTGTAATTTTAGTATGGTACTTGTTCGGGTTCAATCTTACCAGCCGAAAGACTGAAAGTTCCAGCAGTTCACAGTCAGTACTGGAGGAAGATCCAGCGAGCCGACAGACTGAGAATTCAGAGTTCAAACTGCAGAACATTCCAGCGAGCCGACAGACTGTGAATTCACAGTTCAAACTGGAGGAAGATCCAGCGAGCCGGCAGACTTTGAATTCACAGTTCATACTGGAGAAAGTTCCGTCGAGCTGACAGACTGGAAATTTACAGTACTGGAGAAAGTAAAAGTGAGCCGACAGGACTGGTCGTTCAAAGTCCATACTGGAGAAAGTTCCAGCGAACCGACAGACTGGGAATTCACAGTCCATACTGAAGAAAGTTCTAGCGAGCCGACAGACTGGGAATTCACAGTTCATACTGGAGAAATTCCATCGAGCCGACAGACTGGTAATTCTAAGTACTGGAGAACATTCCAGCGAGCCGACAAACTGGGAATTCACAGTACAGGAGAAAGTTACCAGCGAGTCGACAGACTGGGAATTCGCAATTCAAACTGGAGAAAGTTACCAGCGAGTCGACAGACTGGGAATTCGCAGTTCAAACAAGAGAAAGTTCCAGCGAGCCGACTTTTTCAGACATTGAATTTTCACGACCTATATTACCATTGAAGGGTATAGTTATAGTATTTATAGTTGTTTTAAATGATAGGCAAAAATACCTCATTGTGTAACAAAAGCTTTGGCATTTATATTGGCCATAAATGCCATCCTGATACTGGTTTAAATTAACATATAGGATTATGTAATATTTGATGTTCTTTATGTGTGTTAATAAAACTATTGCTTACTTGAAGCTGGCTCACGTTCTAAGAAATAACTAGTTTGTTTTATATACGTTCAGTTCATCTAGTTTATCTTTAAGGAATACTGTGTATTTTATAGACAATCATGCTGAATAATTATTAGTCCCGGAGGTTTGCCGTAACCTGCAAGCCATGTTTGCGATTCAATGGAATAGTGGCACGTTTCGGAGTATACAATTGTGCTTAACGTGCTTCTAGAAGTACAGAGATATGCTAGTTACGAATTTTACTGAGTTATATGACTAGTGCACCTCCCTGTCAAGAGTTTAACATTACTTTCGATTACTTAGGAATTTCTTCAGTCGTCTTCTAGGTTTAACATTTAGTTTCTTAGCATCATTGACTCCTAGAGGGACGAAACAGCTGTATGATAATGTATAATTGACTATCTAGCTCTACTGTATCTTATCCAAATTTGCATTAAATGTGCAACCTTCAAAACATTGAAAAAATCGGTCCCTGGAGAAAAGTGAGTCTTTACTTTGAGACACTTAAACCATGCTTCATTAATGGTACTCGTATGATAAAACATACATGATACTATTGTCAATTAATTACACTAACTAATGTTGAACATTAGGATTGAGTTTGGTGTACAAATTGTCAGCAATAAAAAGACAAACATAGGACTAAGTTTTAATACTTTACTATATCCAAATGTTCATTCTTATAGCTATATTCATGGAAAAGACATACATTAAATACCATGTTTGAGTATTAATAGCTATAAAAGTCATCACATTCACCGGGAATATCACAGTAAGGCTAACTGCCCAAGTAAGTGAAAGCACAAATGTATATGTTGGTCTTAGTCATGAGAATAAATATTCAAATTCGTCCGAATTTCCGAAAATGGCTTCAAGATCACTATTAATACTGCAAGTTTATATCCGAACAAATTGACCCATCGTGTAGCTGGCTTGTGGTCATCCCTATGACTTCGTTATTTGTATTTTGCTGAACATGAGTCCACAGGTCTCGCACAGAGGAGCAAGACAACAAGTGACACAGGTACCGAAGAACTTCTGAACTATTCCACAGGTAATGGTGTAGACCTTGAGGCCAGGAGTACAGCACCAGACAGCATTGAATGTGATCATGGCGAACTCACATCCCCAGTACAGAGCGATACATATTCCACACAGAGTGCTCATGAACTTGTAACAACAGTTCTTTCCGCATGTAAAGCATTTGTAACTGTTGGTCCAGACACAGTCAATGCTGTGGGTACCTTCTGGCTCACCGAGGACATCCTCAAATGCTACCTAGAAAAAATAACCCATAGTGTTACCTGTTTTTATTTACCGGTATCGTTGTAGAAGGTGAATGATATTGTATGTTCTTTACTTTTTTTATATTCTGGTTAGCGTATAGGATTTTTTTTAACTTCAGTAAGACGTATCAAATTCCGGCCTATGGAGATCTAATGAAATCGCATATCTAGAAAGTTTGCGTTTAAACCTAGGGTAGTAAGTCATAACATAATACATACATGTACTTGTCTTAAAAAAAAAAAAACAAAACAAAAAAAAAAAAAAAAAAAACAAAAAAAAAAAAAAAAAAAAAAAAGAAAAAGAAAAAAAGAAAATAACAATATCTGCATCAATTAATTACATTCTCCTATTCATGTACGTATGTTATTTTTTCAAATAAAACGTAATGCAGATGTTAAGCATTTGATTCTGACTTGATGTCAGGCTTTTCTGTCATAGTATGCATTCGCTTTTAATTCTGGTTTTATATTGTGTTACAAAATTGGTTGAATTTATTTCATTCTCACAAATCATTAATGATAATGAGATTTAGAACATTTTCATTATAGATAACATAATTTGCAGTTATTTAGAACAAAAATTTCTCAATGTCGATAATTTAATATAATTAGTTGAACGAACCTGCACAGTGTTATTTAATCCATTAGGATCCCTATTCAACAGATCAACTTCTCCGTCAGACATGTTGAAAGTAGGTTCCCGGTATATCCTACGGTGTTGCAAAGTTGTCTCAGAATGCGTCTAAGACTTTCGCTGTCAACTTGGTCCTTATATACTACCCGTATCCATACCTACCCATCTCCAAAACACAACATCTAGCTTTTCAGATTTGAAGCCATTTAAGTGGGTCAAACTACAACGCCGTCTTCATATTTGTCTATTTGATGGTCAAACAATGTAAATGTTTTTCGAGAGGTATTTACATAACCGATAGATAGAAAACGACAGCCATTTACCGCTAAAGCACGCGCCCAATATTGAAGTTTAACAAGTGAATCAGGCCATGAAGGTAATCTTATCCATATCTTTAGATCAAAGTTACACTTGGATCATTATCTTCATGATATTTTGTCAACAAAACCACATCACCCTACATTAGAACTGTTGTCTATGATTTGGATAAGATATGTTTTGGATTGCTTTTATCATTTGTGTACTGTTTTTGTTGCTGCAAACAATTATTATATACTTGTAGATACGAAATGGAAAGGGATTCTGCCTTAGTTTGTGATATTAAACCTAGTATGTAATATCTTTTATGACATTCTAATGTACAATTTACAGCACCAGAAAAATAGCCTTACAATCCTCCATATTTATCATGGTGCATGCGATGATATTTCACACCAGGCACCTTCTATGATTAGAATCGGGACTCGATTCCAATAAACAGTGTAGTATATTTAGAGAATATTTCATCTCCTCGTTACAGACCTCTTCTTGAAGCTAAATTACAAAATAGTCTACTATTCAATGCTTTGTGATTCCTATTATTGTTTTCCGTTCAGTATCTTATCAAAATTGAAAACAAGAAATATGAAGCTTTACGTTTAAGTTAAAACAATTCTGTAAAGGAATTGACAGTTGTCATCATTAATTGCTATGTAAACATCCGACATAAAATATGACAAAACCTTTCTATTAAAAAGACATGATAGTGGGAATGTATGGTATATTTAAACAGACCGGCCCTAACCCCAATCCCAGCAGGTGTGCCTGATACGGATAAAATTGAATCATCAGACACGTTTTAAGTCTATATAAGTTAATCTGGTCTTGCATTGTATTTTACTAAATATGAGGCCAATGTTTTCACAGAATGGTGCTATACAACATCTGATATTCGTTTCGTTGATCTTTTTAAATATTCCAATAATCATCTGCCATACGTTGAATATTGGGGTACAACACCATACAACTTCAAAAGAGATAACAGCAAATTCGCATCCCCAGTATAATGCTATGCAAAGTCCGCAAAGTATTGTCAAAAATCTGTAGCAGCAGTTTTTTCCACATGTGTAACACGAAAAACTGACACTCCATACACAGTTAAAACTGTGTGTTCCCCAAGGCTCTCCAAGAACGTCATCAAAGACAACCTTCAAAACAACAATAAAAAGGCACCAATACATTAATTCATTAACTGATAAGATCGTAATCATAATCAGAAAATAAAAAGTTTGATCATGTTTGAAATGATTTCGATTTACCATTGTCTACTGATGTTTAGACAGATAACAACAACTTGTGAATGTTCTTCATCTCTGACTTTAAGATAACCGTTCCGTATCAAAAGAAAAAGAGAGAGAGAGAGAGAGAGAGAGAGAGAGAGAGAGAGAGAGAGAGAGAGAGAGAGAGAGAGAGAGAGTGTGTGTGTGTGTGTGTGTGTGTGTGTGTGTGTGTGTGTGTCTGTATGTGTGCGTGTCCGTGTGTGTGTCTGTGTCTGTGGTGGTGTCTCTGTGTGTATGTATGTATGTGTGTGTGTGTGTGTTGTGTTAATCATATATAATCTAAATAGTACATCAGAGGGAATTTGTATGTATTTGTATGTATGAGTTTAACAAGAGAAACAAAGGCGAAATATGCATCTGTGACAGAGATGATTTTTTAAGCTAAAGGGAATAGTCTTGCATTATTATGATTAACCTTTAAGTATTTAGGTTCTGACCAGATATATCACTAAACAGCATTCCGCTTGAACATTCGTGTACTAAGTAACACTATTCTAGAATCAGTGTAACTTACCTGAAGGTTATCGTTAATATAATTGATGTCCCGGTTTTCTAAATCAACTCCTCCATAACGATTAGACGACATCATGAAATAACATAAAAATTCCCGTTTTTAGTTGTTTCTGACAGATCATTAAAAACTAGTGAGGTACTTGTTTTAAAATAACATGTCGTTGCTATTCGTTCCAACGTTCTAGTGTCTACAAACCAAGAAGATTATTTTCACCTATGAAGGTCGTGTTGGTTGAAAACTTAAGGCCGTTTGTAATGGACTATATTTGTACATTTTCTGTTAACGTTAGATAAACAGTCTACTCTAATTTCGTGATTCGTTTCTCGCTCAGAAAACTATGGACTGGATTTCGATTGTAAGCTCGATTTTATCGCAAATGTTTATATGGTTTATGTTAGATATATATAAGTGTACCATTTCTCTTAACTTTGTAGTGATTTTATTGAAACACAGCGTGATCAGAAACAATAGAAGAAAACTGATTACTTATGTATCCGTGTAGAAGTGATTTAATTCACATATTGTGTAGTCTATGTAACCAGAACTGTGCTAATTACCTCGATGATTACTCATTAAAAAACTTAAGTATACTGACAATAATAAAGCAAGCTTTCGGTGATGTAACTACCGTTTTGAATAATATATCTCCGTGTGTGAACTCGCACTTTGAAGGTCTAAGCCATGTAGCAGTTTTAATAGTAATTTTTGAAGATACATGTTTAACAATAATTAGGGGAGCAAAGTATGACTTTAATGTTAATATTGTTTACCGTTTGAAGTTAAGAGGACATTTTCCAATATAAGAAATTAAACGGTTGATTACTGTGGCGTTTTTCTATAAAAGTTAGTGATATTAACTTTGTAGGTAATACATCGATATCATTATGATCATAACTATTCTAGTACTTAAAATCATATCATTAAAACCTTAGTCTTGGACAGACAGGATACGTAATTGTTAGAGATTCCTTGAAACAAGACAGAAAATGATTAGTTAAATACATAATCTCTTACCTTACATCTGTTGTATTACCGTGTCAACGTGTACGTAAGTTTACTTCCGGTTCATCTTAAACATTTAATCTGTCTACTTCTTTAGTGTTTACCTTAGTATTGACGCTAAATATGACTTGTTTTTTATTATTGCAACATTAAAGATGAAATGCTGTTGATAAACAGTGTATGTGTTACCGTCAGATATAGTAAGTAGATTAGATTTTATAGCGATGTGTTAGTATTGTACATTGGATACACATAAGTAACATTTAGACTTTAACAAATATAGATTTAAGGTTTAAACTCGTCAGAATAAACTATAGTTTCATGCAAATTGAAAAGTCTCCAGTGTTCACTATTTTTAGACTACCAGAGAGTGATTGGTGTGATTTCACCACTGTTTTATTTTACTCTGTACAATGTCTTTTACGGTTGATTTACCAAATATGTGTGTTATGTTAATCATGTTTACATGGCTATGCATTCTGTCTCTCCTTAACATGTTGTGTGCTGATTGTCTATATCATGACTAGCTTGCTGATTGTTATATCGCTTTGTCATGCTGAGATTTTACAAAAGACACGCAAGTGAATAGAGAATCATTTAACACAACTTAAGAGTTAGATGCAGTAGGGTCAAATGATGAAGTAAACTGAGCTATGTCTTTCCAGGACTCGTCACTGGTGCTAAAGGACTAAATTTCAAAGCTAGGAGGCGACTAAGGAAAATCTAAAGTGATCGAAAGAAAAGTCACAAATTAGATAGGGATGTGCATTAGTCCTACAGATCAACAAAATTTCCTATTTTTCCTTTATCTGATAAGCTTTCATCAGTTTCATACTTCTGTCGTGTTTCTCCAAAACTGTACTTAAAGCCTTTACAACAATTATTCAACGTTTATATATCATATCTTGTCAAAAAAGTATGTGTTGAAACATTTGTCCACGGTTATTTTTAATTCGCCTTAAAGTATTTTTATCCTTCAGCCAGACTTTTTCATTTTCGCTCAGTGTTTTTGTAATGTTCGTCCCCACTTGAAAAAAGATGGAACAAGTGAAAGTTAATGTGACTCGTATACCGTCGTTTTGTTTCGTTGAAAAGGCCATGATACAAATACATACAATGCCGAAAAAGTTTCATTTGGGAAAGGTGACAACTAAAATGTAGCATTTTGGTGGGTGGTGTAATTTCTCATATACAAATGCAATGTAACCTATTTTGACATATGAAATGACGTCACATACATATTATATTGTGACGTAGCAAATCAGGACCATATACATATACTGGTGTAAGATCCTATATATGTCACTGTACATACATACCTGTATATCAGAACACGGTGATATTCTGTTAACTGTACATGACATGATGCTACAAGGAGATCAACTCGGATACTCGTACAGAGCACGATACTTGTAGAAGTTAATATCATTTTACTGTTGATGTGTTAGTAAATCTTTATAAACACTTCAACATTTTTATTTTTTCATACAATTGAACGTCACCTAAAGTTAATTTTCATACTGGGCTAATACTGCAGATATGATATTTCTAACTTTCATTTAACTAAGGACAATATCAGCAATGTTTGATCATATTCATTGATATAAAAAAGTTTTCTTGTTTGAAAGCTCCATTGTTAGAAAATGGATGGAACAGTTTTACAATAAATAAATCCTCATCTTCAGTTCATTATGCCTTTAGCATATAATCACAAACAAACAATACAAAACATACTTAAAAATATTCATTGCTAAAGAGACTTCATAACAAAATATCACAAACTTTAACCAAATTTTTGACGACGCAGTGTACTCATGAACTTGTAGCAGTTCTTTCCTCCGCAGGTATTATTTGCAGCTGTTGGTCCAATCACTATCGATGTTATGGGCAGTGTTTGATTCTAACAGCACATAAATCAACCTTAGCTCTTGTGTGAAATATCGTGGTACGAATTACATTTACATAGGCCTTTTATATAGGTAATCAACCTAACAATATAATCCTGTATCTGATGTATAATTATTGAATATTTCGATAATTGAAGATTGAGAAGTCTTTCCTCTCCAGACAGTGCTTTTGTTTTTATTTTATTATTCGAACGCAATTTCTTTTAGCCGCTTGACCTGTTTCTTGAGTGCAAAGCACGTGTAAGATCATTTAAAGAAAATATATTTGTATGACAAACCTATTTGTTTGATTGTAGGAATACCGATGCAATCGATGGAACCAAGTAAGAACGTGTGATCACGTAATAGTGATGTACCCAGTAACAAACATCATAGTTATGATTTTCCAGTAGTTTCGTAGTTTAAATCAAATAGGAAAGTAAACAAGGAAGGGGAACGGAAAGATTCATAGAAAGTACACTCAAATCTGTCTTTAATTCCTACTTTATTTGAGGCGGCCTGTCTACAAAGGGCGCGTTTTTTGTCCCATATATAATTCAGCTCATATTAATTTAACCTCTATAAAGGCCAGCTGTGTATAAAGGCCACTTTTATCTGCTCCATTGAGTGACCTTTATACGCAGGTTTGATTGTACTTCAAAGTACATGCAGTATGCTTTTAAGTGACATAGAAACTTAGTAAGAAGAACGATAGGGTATTGAATTAAAGTTAAAATGAACGTACGTTATCTGTATTTCGATATCTGTGAGATACATGTCTTATCTATTAAGAATATTTTCACCATAGATAGCAAGTTGATGCCTATAAATATCTAGAGATAATTTACACTTTCACTTTCTGAAAACAGCCATATGTCGTATACCGGCATGCGAAACTGAATCATTGTAGACACATATAATGATAAATTCACTGTAAACGTCTAAAGTGGAAGATAATGTTACTTGCCAGTGCCCTTGTTCTCTCATCACTGATTCATTTCATTGTGGTAAACAAACGTGACAAAATATTTGGCTACAATAAATATTGTATTTATTGTGTTTCTAATGAATTCCTGATGTTTCGGATTTACTTGTTTATTCTTTAAGACAATCTGATTTACCGGATAAGTTGTTAATCATGTAGTCTACTCGCGTAATGAAGTGTCTAGGTGACCGGAACTATTTATTGCTATGTCCGCCATGTTGCTATCCGCCATTGGCCGAAATAATTACTGGGACTTCAACTTCCGTGTCACAACTTTATTAGTGATAGTATATAATAGAAAATCTTCGCACTTTTTCCCGCTGCACGTGTTATCTATAGGGTTGTGGTCGCTCGAGCTACGCTCGCCATTCTGAAAGACACAGCTTAAAATCATAAATGAATTATTGATGTCAATATCAACATTACACAGTAAACAATTACCCAGTCCTGGTCTGCTAATTATACTTTCAACTTTACAAAAGAACCAGGCGCACTCGATTATCACGGATACTCAACTTTCAACGTTATTTATGATTTTGAGTGTGCTCTGTGTGGTTTAGTATATGTTAGTGAAAGCAAAGGACAGTTAAGACAATGTATGAGTTCAATGTTGGTATCGACATTTCAATATCCCGAACCATTCCATACTATCGATGATTGTCCTTAATTTGCACAAAAATACAACAAATGACCCCACAATGAGTACACCGTGCCGTAGATAACGTTAGGAACCTAAATAAGACTCCTTGGCACTGCTGCGTCATAAAACTGCAATGGCCGCGTGCCAAGTGCAGGATGCAGTAACACTAGGTTATGGGTTTATTCACTCCTCAAACTAGACGTAACCGTAGCCATGGACAGAGGCATGACAATAAATCTAGAGGATATACCATCACCTTTGGAGATACTTTACAGTAATCAATAGTTGTCAATCATGGTCGAACTACGTTATATTCCCTTCCTTCCGTGCTACGACAACGTCAAGAGAATTCAGCAAATACTGCTTCTGGTGACCGGTGGAAACCAGTATGGAGACTTCTTATTGATGATGTGACAAAAATCATAATTTTAAAACCTTACCTTCAGATAGCCGAGATCCTAAATCAACTCACCAATTCATGGAAGTTAAGTTTTGCAAACAAGGGAGTGAATGCTAAAAACATCAGCAATATTTTACAACAGAAAACTCTTCAACCTAATATTCCACCATACTTTCAAAGCAGAAACATCACTGTAATTACAAACTTTTTAACTACAAAATCACTGCAACATCTGGAACATCTGAAGATGACCCAAGAACTACTCCCCTGTCACTTTGTTCTTGATCAACCTCTTTTTTATGACTAGGGTCCAATTGGGCACATAGTAAGTGGTGATTTAAGCAGTTTTTAAAATGTTAAGATAAGAGAGCTTTCCATGAAGGGTCCTAAATATTTTGACCCCTTACGTAAATTGGAATATGGATTTCAGAATATTTGTGAATTCTATTTAAAACTATGCCTGAGAATGGATGAAAAAAAAACATGTCGTGGATTCACTTTCTGAGTGGGTGGAATCTATTCGATTCATCAATCTAATTTACAGCTTGAAGACAAAACATACATCCGCTTTCCCCGATCTTGATATTAAATCCATACATCCAGATTTACATGACATGTATGTCATTGTGCCTACAGATTAGGTGTCCAATAATTTCATCCTCGTCTGCAAACATTATTACTTTTTCTGTATAAACGAGAACTAGTCTTGCTTGTTTACGCAGGTAACCCCACCCATACATTATGCAATCTTTTAAAAGAAGAGATACTAAAATTATTTAGATTGCCGGATAGTTGTAAGGATACGGACCTGCCCCTTTTATAATGGATTCCTTAACTTCACAAACATCCATATAAATAGCGTTTTATTTCTGGTTCATCTACCTATTCAACCAAGCCTTTGTCAAATCTCTTAACCATCATTCTTAGTACTATCAAGTTAGAGCAAGTGATACTGCTTACTAAAGGAGTCGAATTGATAGTATTTGGATTTACTGAATTCCAAAGAGCTTATTACCAATATTTAACACCTTCTTCTTAAAAAGCGTTTCCTCTTTAAGAACATTTGATTCTACGCTCTGTTCACCACTTAACCCCATTCTACACTGAAAGCACGCCTTTCGTAAAAATACGTCCAATATAAGAAATAAATAGAGGACGAAATCATAAAAATGATCGAGTTTCTGGTAGATTTCATCTTCGTCGTGTTTAGTGGTAAGATTTTCCAGCAGACTATCGGCATACCTATGGGAACTAACTGGGCCCTTCTGTTGGCTGACTTGTTTTTGTTTTCATACGAGACTGAATTTATCGAAGAGTTTATCAAAACAGGTCACAAAGACTTCGCAAAGTCGCTATAAATCACTTTCAGATATATGGATGATGTCTTGTCTTTAAATAACAAGAACTTTGATGACCACGTCCATCGTATATACCCACCAGAACTGGAAATCAAAGACAAGACAGACTAGTAGCACCCCTGCATCCCAAACCTATGGCGTGAACGTGTCGCAATTGATACGATTTTCAAGGTTATGTTTCTAATATCTCGATATATTTCATATATAACTGAATTAATCTGAAAGATTAGCAACACAGATAAAAAATTCATTTCCACTTTCAAATTGGCATTATCTTGTTCTTAAATAATCTTTTCGGTAGAAGGCAAGTTAGTTTATGTGGTTAATTGTTATAAACGTAGTTCTTATTTGAAAACTTGACATTTCTTGAATGACCTAGATGTGGCTAAATTTGTCGCCATTTTAATCACTTTTAAATATGTCAATGATAACATTTAACACAATTTTTAGAAATGATAAAATAATTTATTAAAAGGGTAAAATGAGGTAAATTCCCACAGTTCTAGTAGAGATACAAAACTTTGAGCAAAGTACATGCGATATATCACAAATTTTCACATAGGTGGATCGTTGCTGATAGTCATATGTCCTCCAGAAACTGGTAGGTCTAATCATCCTGTAGATTCAATAAATAGCGTTACCTCATTTGCTGTTAAACTGTTGAACAATGTGCTGTATTATTGAACAGTTTCACAATAAATTATCGGTCCAAGAGAGTTTGGAGGGTCGTATCAGCATAGTAACTTTGTAGGACATTCGTTGCAAAATTTTGGAATGCTTATTTCGTTAACCTTAGTAGGTACGAATTCAGCTACAAATTTGGAGATCATTTCTTAGTAATAGTAATGTTACTGAAACACAACCCGAGTGTTTCACAAACAGGAGCCAGACAGCACTGGATGCAGGATCCGAAGAAACGTTGACAGATTCCAAGAAAAATGGAGTGAACTTTGAGAGCAGGTGTACAACACCACACCATCTCAAATGTGATCATGGCGAACTCACATCCCCAGTACAGAGCGATACATATTCCACACAGTGTGCTCATGAACTTGTAACAACAGTTCTTTCCGCATGTAAAGCATTTGTAACTGTTTTTCCAGACACAGTCGATGCTATGGGCTCCCTCTGGTTCTCCTAGCACATCTTCAAAGGCGACCTATTGAGAACAAGGGATTGTGGACATACAATAGAAATCTTAATCCCAATGTGAAAGGAGAAAGATAGGGACAAATAAGCGACAAAAGAGTAGTTTTAACAGATATCTTTCAAAACGTTAAGGATGAAAACAGCATGTTCTGAAATGTGTGTGGTTTCTGACGCTGCTTCGAAGAGAAATTAAATGTATAGGGCACATAAACTTTATACTATTTAAAACGCCGTTTTCAGAGGAACAAAAGCGACATTTTTATACAATGCTACAGTCCTGATATCCTATAAGTCTGGTTAATTCCTTTGCATAGTAATTTCCATTGGTTTACTGATTTTAAACGGATTTAATATAACACTGAGTTCTTAATCGTTATCAAGTGAGAAACATTGTAAGTAATATTATATAGCTGAAATCCTGATACGAAACATGAAATACAAAAAGAAATGTTTTGAAAATTAGTTCTGATTCAGTTATGAACAAATAATATTGAATGGGTACATGCGTATGAAAAAAATGTTGGTAAAACACCCTCACACAATTATGACACAATATCTACTATTTTAATTTTTAATGGAACGATGTATCGCTATTTCGTATATTGCCAATAGACATATCGTTTTAAAACACTTAAAGGTTAAAACAAGAACTGAACTAAAACAAACGATTTGTACCTGCACGTTTGCATTCAAGGAATTGGGATCCCTTAGCTCCAGATCGATTGGTGACTCATCCATGACTGTAGGTAATATCGTACAATCCACACACAGTAAAGGAATGGACACAAGTGGTGCTCAGTTTTCTGTGGTTCGAATATATTCTGTTTTTTGTGTACCAAGCGATTACCTGACAACTGTCACTTAACACTGAATAAGTGCATGAAAAAGGGGAGGGTCTTATTCCATGAAAAGAATCCAAGGGAAACGTCATTATGTATAATAATAAGGTATTTTAATGATCTGACTGTTAGTAACCTCCTGGCAGTGTCTTTTGAATACCTCTGTACGACTTTGTAACTATTGATCTTAAAAACTACAATCAGTCTGATGTATTTAAACATTTCTTTATAAATGTGAACGTTTTGTTACGTCAACCATCGTTAGCTTCTGTCCTGTTTGATTTTTTTTCTGTTTTCATGTTTTGCTTTTTTTCTCAATTTCTTTATAAATGTTAACGTTTTGTTACGTCAACCATCGTTAAGTTTTTTCCTGTTTGCTATGTTTTTGTTTCCTTGTTTTGTTTCTTACTTTACGTTTTCTTTTGTTTTTGTTTTAAATAATTAAAAGTTAAAATGTTAACGCAAAATAATTTGCATGTAATGCAATAAGATCTATGTAAAATACTTTGTATAGCAGCCTTTAAAAGTATACTATTCCCTCACTACTGTGTTTTATGGCAAATTCAAGTAAATGTACTTGATACTGCGTCTCCTTGAAATTGGTTTGAATTTCTGATAACATTTTTAAAAAGAAAATACGAACATAAATCGTGCACCTGATACATGAATGTATTTGAGGGGCATCATATCTAAAATCTTTTTTATGGATTAGACACATTTTTCAAAATGGCTCAGAAGGCACACATGCACTTCACGTTTGCAGAAATATTGATATATTTCAAAATATTTGCATTACGGAGCTGAATTTATAATTTGAAAGAAACATAATAAAATTATTTATCACTTAATGTATCTAATATCTATTTTCATATGATAATACTCATGTGTCATTTGTAAAATGTACCATGTAAGGTTCGGAAGATTAAAATCTTCACATTTCACCCATACTAAGAGATATAAAATAAAGTTTTTCCTAACTAAATATTGAATTTTATATTTCATATCTTAAAATGGGATGCCATGCCCAAACGTCAAACCTTCCCCTTTCTGCATTTTCTATATATATTTATACGGTGGTTCTATAACAGGATTGTTTATGTAATACCAGTAGATTCTTCAGAATTGACATTCAAATACTTGTCAGCTAGTTTTGTTTATGTTGATGTATTTGTCATCCTGTTCTTGTTTCGTTGTATATTGCTGTACCATTTCAACTTGTCTTCTGTCAGATGAACTTGGCTGACGTGTCACTAATGGTGGAATTTAGAGCATTTTTCAAATTCTGTATTGTGAAGTGACCTTAAATTTTCTTATTATACATTTTCTTTACATCTCATCATAAGGAAAATGTTTTTTCATACACTCGACTTATTTGTGAATTTTTTTATGGTTGATTCAGTTACAGACAGTATAATACTTATATACGTTGTTTGTGCGCTAGTATTTGGGGTTTTTCTTTAATACTTGCTGTATCTTGATTTTTATTTTTTCGCTTTTGGTTCTTTTTTCGAAACGCATTTAGGTAACTCATACATAATCTATTTGGATTTTAATTCTATAAAAGTCAAGTACATTGTCTATCAATTTCATTGAAAACAATGTTCAAGATAATATTTAAACACTAATAGCTTAGAAGTGTATAGTTTATTTGTAAGTTTTTTTCACTTAACTATTGCCTTTCATCAATATCTTTCCAAATAAATTTGTCTTTGCCTATCATTCAATCATCACAACAGAACAAATATCCATTATCAAATACGTTCATTTTTGAAAGATAATCTTTTGTGATGTGTATACGTTCTTACGCTTGCCTGATTAACCTATTCTACACACAGTCAATAATTTGAGAGGTCTTCCTTGCATTATATATAATTGATTGACGGACATATCAGATCCAGAACTATTTTCACAAGACTGTCATACAAAATTTGATGGAAATGCTTTTTACCTCCCAATAGGTACTTCTTTATCTTTAGTCACATCAACTCGAGAATATGTCTTGCTATCATTTATCAGTTTTTAATTCAAATTAATAGAAAGACAAGTAAATATCTTTAAATTGTGCTGTTACTGATTGCTTTACACTGCAGCGTATCTTTGATTGGCACATGTATATCCCCCAATAGCACAAAATGTTATTAGCCGTCAACTGATAGTAACCATGGCAACAACAACACCGCCTATAGAATTTGGTGTCTGCGTCTCCGATTCTGGATGTATTAATTGGTTATATTACCCATTGACGTTCTTCCTGTTTTTATATCTACATCAGTGTATAATAAACAAAAATCATGACGTAAGTTTGATATGAATATGAACAAATAATTTATTGTAAAAGAAATACATCAATGATAAACAGAGTAGCAATAAACATATCAAGTACAATTCCACATGAAATTAATATAAGATCAAGTGTTTGTAAAATGTTACATGTTTTCAGAAAACTATTGGAGTTATCTTCATATCACAGTCATTTAATTTGTAGATGGCACAGAGTTCAATGATAACTGGAAGTATGTCACTTTTTAGTAATAGTAATGTTGCTAAAACATAATCCAATCGTTTCACAGACAGGAGCCAGACAGCACTGGATGCAAGATCCGAAGAAACGTTGACAGATTCCAAGAAGAATGGAGTGAACTTTGAGAGCAGGTGTACAACACCACACCATCTCAAATGTGATCATGGCGAACTCACATCCCCAGTACAGAGCGATACATATTCCACACAGTGTGCTCATGAACTTGTAACAACAGTTCTTTCCGCATGTAAAGCATTTGTAACTGTTTTTCCAGACACAGTCGATGCTATGGGCTCCCTCTGGTTCTCCTAGCACATCTTCAAAGGCGACCTGTCGAATCATAAAACAACACTGATGACTACAAAGGAATCGTGACATGCTAACACACACAACGCCAACTGGTTAGATACATGGTAGCCTTTTATATACATTATAAAGAAATGGTTTGCAAAGATTTGTACATATTATATTTAACATTATCAATATTGTAGTGGAATTCTGATAAAGTTCCAAAGCGGTTAAATTGAGTGTTTCTTCTTACTGGTCACTATAGTGACCGCCACAGCGCTAATTGAAGTGAATGTCATTTTTAATATCGATATTTGAAGGCAAAAAATGTATGATAATATGAGTCAGTTTCAACATAGTAATAATTATCAAAACCATGTTGAAAGCAGAATGCAATTTCACTAACTTTAATCCAAAGTTATAGTTATTATCTATCTGTTAATTCATGAAACAATATTATCAATAGATTAAACAGGTTCAAATGCTGAAATATCAATTACGAAGAGCAAGATGTTTAAATACTTATATATTCATACCTGAATTGTGGAGTTAAGAGAGTTAGGATCCCTGTTATCCAAATCAACTTCCGTTGCTTGCTCCGCCATTTTGGTGTGCCTTTTGGAGATACTGAGGTGAGCAAAGCAGACCTTTTCTGGAGAGTGGTAGCGAGCGGCCCTTGGTCGGATTTTATACCCCTTTTTGTCGATTGATAATTGCTTGACAACTGTCAGGCTGACGGAAAGGGGTGGGTCATTTTCATTAAAAACTCGGCGTCATTGGCAACGACCTAACGAAAGCTCTCCTAGACATAACGTTAGCTTTGTCTCCAATGGAAGTATAGTATTTAACATAGGCATTGTTAATCGGTATGAATGAAAATGTTAAAGCCCTATTATTTACGGACTGAAAACTAACGGCGCTATTGATTTGACCGATGAAAAAGTAGATAAGTGTGCTTACACATTCGGTTGGATTTTTTTTCTGAAAACTTTTGTTCTCGTATTGAGTTACTCTAAAATATACCACTCGAATGTCATGATAGATATCACTATAGAACATACTCTAACCAAGGTCATCGCTAACATTTAGATTCGTCTTATAAGTATGGTATCAGGTTTTCTTTCCATTCTAGCTTACTTGTATGCTATAAACGACACAAGGTGATCACAGCGTATTTTAAATTTAGTGCAATATAATCACTAAGGACTATCTTATTACATCGAAACACGCACATGTATCCTACGTCAGTTTTCTTTACTAATATAACAATACGGCATCTCGGCACATCACCTAAAGTGTTAAAACATAGCATTATACATTATAACAGAAATAAAGAAGAAATCGATTGTATACAAAAACTTCTTTCTCTGAATACGTATTTGACCTTGTGCATATTGCATGAGTGATTTGTTTAAAAACCATCATATCAAGTGATATTATTTTGTGCTTGATGGCAGCTAACGGAGAGCTACAGGTGAATGGACAAACCAATTTATAGAGTTAGGTACGCACGCATTTCAATAAAGTGATATTTGTGAAAAAAGACTTTGATAATCAGTAATTATTCAAGGACGATAATGTTCTCTACAGCTATAGGAAACTAAGCCTTTTTTCATTGATATATGTTGCATGCTTTGCATTCTGGCCCCAGTTGTTCAAAGTTGACCAATCGTAAGTTAAAAACATCAAATATGAAATTAACCTTATTGGAAATATTTCTTTTCATTTTCCATTTGCAAATTTGTTGCGACGGGTCGTATTGATATTTCAGTGTGTCAGTTCTCTTTGTAATTTCCTTTTCAGTGTCGTCTAAATACTTCACGATTCAATTATTTATTCGAACCAACTTTAGAGTAACTTGGGAATAATGATCGTATGTACTGCGTTTTGGCACTTTTTTACTGTTTAGAAATGAAACATCACTGCAACGTACACCTTGCCTACATAGGTCACCGTAACGTATTAGGTGTCCATTACATTTATTCCTTAAGCATTAAATGATTAAATCATATTGTACGTAGTGTACACAAACTATTCAGATTTGATCATGTTGTGAATGCATTCAGTTGATCGGAAAGTTTCGTTTACCTTCACAGCTGCTTTATCCTTTGGGTAATGTTTGATTAAAGAATTCTCAGAACTTAAATTTTAACTTAAATATTTCTACGAATTTATTTCATTTTAGGTTTATTCGTTATATTAGAATAATTCGTTGTAAATCATTCGTGATAGTGTAAATGGACGCTATGTTCCGAAATGATATGTAAGTAAATCATCTATAGGGTGATAGTGTACATGGACGCTATGATCTATAGGGTGATAATGTACATGGACGATATGTTCCGAAATGATAAGTAAGTAAATCATATATAGGGTGATAATGTACGTGGACGATATGTTCCGAAATGATATGTAAGTAAATCATCTATAGGGTGATAGTGTACATGGACGCTATGTTCCGAAATGATATGTAAGTAAATCATATATAGGGTGATAATGTACATGGACGATATGTTCCGAAATGATAAGTAAGTAAATCATATATAGGGTGATAATGTACATGGACGATATGTTCCGAAATGATAAATAAGTAAATCATATATAGGCTGATAATGTACGTGGACGCTATGTTCCGAAATGATATGTAAGTAAATCATCTATAGGCTGATAATGTACGTGGACGCTATGTTCCGAAATGATATGTAAGTAAATCATCTATAGGGTGATAATGTACGTGGACGCTATGTTCCGAAATGATATGTAAGTAAATCATCTATAGGCTGATAATGTACGTGGACGCTATGTTCCGAAATGATATGTAAGTAAATCATCTATAGGGTGATAATGTACATGGACGCTATGTTCCGAAATGATATGTAAGTAAATCATATATAGGGTGATAATGTACATGGACGATATGTTCCGAAATGATAGGTAAGTAAATCATCTATAGGGTGATAATGTACATGGACGATATGTTCCGAAATGATAGGTAAGTAAATCATATATAGGGTGATAATGTACATGGACGATATGTTCCGAAATGATAGGTAAGTAAATCATATATAGGGTGATAATGTACGTGGACGCTATGTTCCGAAATGATATGTAAGTAAATCATATATAGGGTGATAGTGTACATGGACGCTATGATCTATAGGGTGATAATGTACATGGACGATATGTTCCGAAATGATAAGTAAGTAAATCATCTATAGGCTGATAATGTACATGGACGATATGTTCCGAAATGATATGTAAGTAAATCATCTATAGGGTGATAATGTACGTGGACACTATGTTCCGAAATGATATGTAAGTAAATCATATATAGGGTGATAATGTACGTGGACGCTATGTTCCGAAATGATAGGTAAGTAAATCATATATAGGGTGATAATGTACATGGACGCTATGATCTATAGGGTGATAATGTACATGGACGCTATGTTCCGAAATGATAGGTAAGTAAATCATATATAGGGTGATAATGTACATGGACGCTATAGTCCGAAATGATATGTAAGCAAATCATATATAGGGTGATAATGTACATGGAAGCTATGTTCCGAAATGATAAGTAAGTAAACCATATATAGGGTGATAATGTACATGGACGCTATGTTCCGAAATGATAAGTAAGTAAACCATATATAGGGTGATAATGTACATGGACGCTATGTTCCGAAATGATAAGTAAGTAAACCATATATAGGGTGATAATGTACATGGACGATATGTTCCGAAATGATATGTAAGTAAATCATCTATAGGGTGATAATGTACATGGACGATATGTTCCGAAATGATAAGTAAGTAAATCATATATAGGGTGATAATGTACGTGGACGCTATGTTCCGAAATGATATGTAAGTAAATCATATATAGGGTGATAATGTACGTGGACGCTATGATCTATAGGGTGATAATGTACATGGACGCTATGTTCCGAAATGATAAGTAAGTAAATCATATATAGGGTGATAATGTACATGGACGATATGTTCCGAAATGATATGTAAGTAAATCATCTATAGGGTGATAATGTACATGGACGATATGTTCCGAAATGATAAGTAAGTAAATCATATATAGGGTGATAATGTACATGGACGATATGTTCCGAAATGATAAGTAAGTAAATCATATATAGGGTGATAATGTACATGGACGATATGTTCCGAAATGATATGTAAGTAAATCATATATAGGGTGATAATGTACATGGACGATATGTTCCGAAATGATAAGTAAGTAAATCATATATAGGGTGATAATGTACATGGACGATATGTTCCGAAATGATATGTAAGTAAATCATCTATAGGGTGATAATGTACATGGACGCTATGATCTATAGGGTGATAATGTACATGGACGCTATGTTCCGAAATGATAAGTAAGTAAATCATATATAGGGTGATAATGTACATGGACGATATGTTCCGAAATGATATGTAAGTAAATCATCTATAGGGTGATAATGTACATGGACGATATGTTCCGAAATGATAAGTAAGTAAATCATATATAGGGTGATAATGTACATGGACGCTATGTTCCGAAATGATAAGTAAGTAAATCATATATAGGGTGATAATGTACATGGACGATATGTTCCGAAATGATATGTAAGTAAATCATCTATAGGGTGATAATGTACGTGGACGCTATGTTCCGAAATGATAAGTAAGTAAATCATATATAGGGTGATAATGTACATGGACGATATGTTCCGAAATGATATGTAAGTAAATCATCTATAGGCTGATAATGTACGTGGACGCTATGTTCCGAAATGATATGTAAGTAAATCATCTATAGGCTGATAATGTACGTGGACGCTATGTTCCGAAATGATATGTAAGTAAATCATATATAGGGTGATAATGTACGTGGACGCTATGTTCCGAAATGATAAGTAAGTAAATCATATATAGGGTGATAATGTACATGGACGATATGTTCCGAAATGATATGTAAGTAAATCATCTATAGGCTGATAATGTACGTGGACGCTATGTTCCGAAATGATAAGTAAGTAAATCATATATAGGGTGATAATGTACATGGACGATATGTTCCGAAATGATATGTAAGTAAATTATCTATAGGGTGATAATGTACGTGGACGCTATGTTCCGAAATGATAAGTAAGTAAATCATATATAGGGTGATAATGTACATGGACGATATGTTCCGAAATGATATGTAAGTAAATCATCTATAGGGTGATAATGTACGTGGACGCTATGTTCCGAAATGATATGTAAGTAAATCATCTATAGGCTGATAATGTACATGGACGATATGTTCCGAAATGATATGTAAGTAAATCATCTATAGGCTGATAATGTACGTGGACGCTATGTTCCGAAATGATATGTAAGTAAATCATATATAGGGTGATAATGTACATGGACGCTATGTTCCGAAATGATATGTAAGTAAATCATATATAGGGTGATAATGTACATGGACGATATGTTCCGAAATGATAAGTAAGTAAATCATATATAGGGTGATAATGTACATGGACGATATGTTCCGAAATGATATGTAAGTAAATCATCTATAGGCTGATAATGTACGTGGACGCTATGTTCCGAAATGATATGTAAGTAAATCATATATAGGGTGATAGTGTACGTGGACGCTATGTTCCGAAATGATATGTAAGTAAATCATATATAGGGTGATAGTGTACATGGACGCTATGATCTATAGGGTGATAATGTACATGGACGCTATGTTCCGAAATGATAAGTAAGTAAATCATATATAGGGTGATAATGTACATGGACGCTATGTTCCGAAATGATATGTAAGTAAATCATATATAGGGTGATAATGTACATGGACGATATGTTCCGATGATATGTAAGTAAATCATATATAGGGTGATAATGTACATGGACGCTATGTTCCGATGATATGTAAGTAAATCATTTATAGGGTGATAGTGTACATCTCTGAACTTAGTTAGGATATTGAAAAAGGGACGATGGCAGTATAAATAGCTAATGGCGACTCCAATTAGATCGATTAATAACAACACCGAATTATAACATATGTACTTAATTGTTTTATTTTCATTTGTGTGCTTCAATCGAAATACAAGGAAATCTTATCAAGCACCTCATATGTGGGACACTCTGATATAAGTGCACATAATCTAAATAAAACGCGATTGCATATGATATATGACTACAAACACATTATATCCAGTAGTCCCTGATGAAATCACGGACGTTCTTCATTCAAGGAGTCCTATAACAACCAAGCAGCGATTCATTTGTGATACTCCCCTGAAGTTGAATGTTTTTTCATTTTTGGTTCTCAGAACATGTCTAGGATTGAAAGTGACACAAAGATGTGTCTTAAAATCACATCTGCACTAACAATTGAAGTTGAATGTTTTTTCATTTTTGGTTCTCAGAACATGTCTAGGATTGAAAGTGACACAAAGATGTGTCTTAGTCTTCAATGGATAATAGATATTTGGGCAGGCTTGTGTAGAGTCTGTCATCACATCTGCACTAACAATTGGTGTAAAAATAAAGCGATTCATTTTTGTTTACGATAGATATGAAGTATCTTTTCGGTAGAGTCGTTTCTCCGTTTAATTAAATAAAAAAAGAGGAGTACTATCACATGTATATGACTGTCAGTGATTTATTTTCTGGTTACCAGGATAAAACTTCCTTTTCATTATCTACATCCTTTGAAACACTGTGTTACATGTTTTCCCGTCAATTGACGATTTCTTGCACGAAAATAGTTCTAACAAAGATTTGGCATTGCCAGAGTGTTATGAAATTTGAAACTGTTTTTCGACAAAGCAATTTCATGTTTTAATTTATTTGAATGGTAGCACTTAACGTTCTTTAGAATTCTATGTTGAACATACTGATATATTTCATTAAACTTAAGCGAATTTCAACAAAAGTTACTCATTTTCTATGTTTTTATTTAATTAAAAACTTATTTGTAAATAACATATAAATTTGTATTCCCATATGTATTAAGATACAACTATTTTTATCTTATTAAAAGGATAAGTTTCAATAAATTAATACGACATCCAGAAGATGAGTTTGGAAAGTCCAAATATTTTAGGTTTCAGCATATGTCATTCATATTTATAGCTTTTTCATTGAAATATTATTGAAGCATAATCCAACTGTTTCACAGACGGGAGCTAAACAGCAACTGATGCATGTTCCAAAGAACCGCTGCAGAATTCCCGTGGTCAGTTGGTAGGCTTTCAGAGCCGGGGCACGGATCCAAATTTACACATACGTGATGATGGCGAATTCACGGCCCCATGCTAGAGCTGTACGGAGCTCACATATAAATGTCACAAACTTGTAACAACAGTTCTTTGAGCAGATAATGCACCTGTGAGATGAGCCCATAAACATTCTACGCTGTGAGTTTCATCAGGCTCGCCTAGCACATCATGAAAATCTACCTGTTAAACGAAAGGTTGTATGTGAAGTAAGATTTTAACCCATGGAATTCCTTTCTTCAAGTGCGTTAATACTACTGTCAAAAATAACAATATATATATATGTTCTAACTTTTTATTTTTGTTGAAGTGGTGAGGGTTTAAATTACCAGAATACATTATGAAAACTATTAGCGCATTGATCGACGGTAGAAAACAATTTTCTGATTAATTCGAATTGTCCAGTCTTTATGACGTTCCCGAAAACATTGTGAACAATAGTCATAAATGCAACACATTGATAACATAAGGAAGTAAATAATCCGTATTTTCTCATATCATTGTGTTCTTTATACTATGAATATATTCTACACAGCCATATCGTGTCTTAATACCACAAAGATTTAGTTTCATTTTCATTTTTACAATTATCATATTTTAAAATCATGACTTAATTGCTTAAAATGGACAATGTCCATCATATTACACAACCAAGACTAACCTGCACGTTTCCATGAAGAGAATTAGGATCGCATTCCTTGATTTCAAATCGAGTGCTGCATATTGCTCTGTCATTTTTATGATATTTAAATAATTGCATACATAAATTAAGATGCAGACTGTTAATGACTTTAAATAAAGAATTTACAGAATGCGCAGTATGTAAGCCTGCTAGAAGTATGTTAAATGACGCAGATCTTAATGTTGATTCGCGTAGAAGGAAGCGATAGACAACCAATTGTCACTGAGGCGAAACATTTGTTCTTTGTCTCTAAATGTCCAAAGGAATCGCTGTTCAATGTGAATTGTGTTCCGTGTGTACGCCACCAAATATACTTGTATGGGTGGAGTATTGAGATGGTTGTTTAGTTATACCAGATTAAGCTTTTAACTCGAAGATGATTCAATATACAATGTTTAGTGTAATTATGATTTGTATCACTAATCAGACTATTTTCTGTGCTAAAACTCGTTGGTGCTTAGTTACAGCTATTCGTCTAAAGGGGAAGGGACGGTATCGACGATGAAGCAGCAGACGCGTACTCCTCCGGAACACCTTGTGGTTTTTTCAGGAGTCTTTGTTTTAATCTTTCGTTTGTTCATGCTTTAACCTGGTTTCACTGAATTTGAGTTTGATTTAGAAATCTATTGACATGGCGGTATTTTCTTTTCGTTTCTTATATAGAAAAATATGATTTGATTTATTGATACACTGATCATCCTAAATCCTAATCGTTTTTAGGAGCATGTCAAATAGCAGTGTGTTTAGCTTAGTGCCAGCGTGGACTATTCTGTTTTTAAAGTTTTCAAATAGAAATTCGAATTCGATGTGACTGGTGCAATTACGAACAAAAAAATAGTCTAATGAAAAAAATTCCAAGGAAAATAAGACTATGTTTTCAGGAATGGAAAGCGCCTTCTTCTTCATCGACGACACCCATAATGTTAATGTTGGTCAATCCAAATAGTCACATTTCTAAATGAGAACAAGGTAAACAACGACTTCGTATCGCACAAGAAACTATCATATATGGCGACTGTAAAACTTCCTTATTATCTTCACAAATATACATATCTCGAACCCCTCTGTCAAATCGCTTCGCAAGATCTGTGTTACCTGTTTTGATAGGTTTTTGAAAGAAACAGAAATTAAACAACACATTAATGAAACTATCAAGTGCATGTTGTTAAAAGTGCTTTGTGGAGTGATTACATGGACATATAACTAGTTCACGATAATTACATAGTTTCATCGCTTTTCTAAAAACCCAGGGTGCATGCTCTTTTAACAACTAATTCGTAACTATTTTCTGTTCTTGAACATTCGAAGGCAATGTTCCAGGCTTGATCATCTCAACGTCAGTTTAGCGCATGTTATAAAAGTCTAAATTGTTATACCCTGCGTGTGTTTACACGTTTCTACAATAACCTATAAAAATCATTATTTTCCGGTTTATATTGGATAAAATGTTGTAGCGTTCCTTAATTTCTATTTAATAAGTTAAATACCTATAAAGTATATATTGATACAAACAGTGATATATCCGGTGGGTTGCTATGAACATGTTTGCTAATTTGTTCGGTTGGTTGCTATGAACTAGTCTACTGGTATATCCAGGTGGTTGCTACAACAATAAATTTGTTTGGTTGCTATGTTTGTTTCCATCCTTGGTTTATAATACATGTTGTTTTTTAATCAGAATAACATATACGTGCACTATGTTTCAAATCATCTGAAATATTAAATCCAGTCAAAACAAGACAAATTGCTACGAAACACAAAATTTATTTGTATAATATATATAATAAAGTCATAAATAAGAAAATATTCATGGAATATCACAGATTTAACCACCGTCGTCGTCACATGAGCTTCAATATTTTGGCAGTGCCTTTCCTTGAAATGTAAATAATGTATCCAATTCCGGAAACAATAGTATAGGCCGCTCAGATATGTTATTGTTCCATTTGGTGAAAGTGTTTATCTATTAGAATAACAGTAAGACAGTAGCCCATAGAATATTCGCCCTTTCACAGTTTCACGAGAAGCAATCATCAGTCTGTAGTACAGAATCAAGAAGAGTTTGTAACAGAAATACGGCTGAAACATAGGGCGAAGGTCTCGCAGATTGGAGCCAAGAAGCATTGGATGATGGTACCGAAGAACTTCTGCGCGCAGCCGCAGTAGATGGAGAAGACTCTGAGAGACGGAGTTATGCACCAGATTTGATCGAAAGCAATAATGGCGAACTCACAGCCCCAGTAGAGCGCGATGCAAATTCCACAAAGACAGGTCATGAATTTGTAGCAGCAGTTTTTACCGCAGTTGAAACACCAGTAGCTGTTCTTCCATACACAGTCAATGCTTCGTATATAATCAGGTTCTCCAAGGACATCTTCAAACGCGACCTTGGAAAGAAAAGAAACCACTCATGAACAAATTCCAAAAGCAACCTTTTTTGTAATACTAACGGTTCTCTTGTCAGATCTATATTATGTATTGAATATGTGCTATCTACCTATATGTTATCAAATACGCATCATGTTTAAAATACGGTAGATGTGACATCGGTCTCAATATAGTCGTGCGAACAACAGTATTCCTCTTTTATGTTGTGTGGAATTCTAGGTTTCGTTTCTATATGCCGAAATTGAAACATTAAAAAATGGAATAAAACATTGCTACATACTCTTGTTTGTTACATTAATTTCAAACTCAATTATAAAAGATTTTTCTTTACAAAGATTTTTTTCCTATTCTCGAAGGAGAGAAAATTCAGTGAGTAAAGAAGTTAAACCGAAAGTCAACAATCACAAGTTGCGCTTTATTTACAATTTCAGATATTTCAAGGAATTAATAATCTTTTAATTAACATAAGTAGTTTTCCAACAAAAGAACTTGATAAAATGTATAGTTTTAAAAAAGATCGATTCAGCAAATGTCAGATATAACTTTAAATTTCAACCAATGTATAATCAAAATTATTTGGCCTTACCTTACAATGGTCGTTTAGATTGTTTGGGTCCCTATTTTCCAAATCACATTCACCTTCAGTAAGCTGAGCCATGGTGCAACTTGCCTGTTGGTATTAACTTTTCACCGATAAGAGATGCACACAGGCAGATATCCAGTCACAACTGGTCGGTAGGCTTTTCTGACCTTTATATATCCCAAACACAAGACATATCCAGGGAGACCAGGCATACACAAATAATATTATTGATGCTTTCTCCGTTTCCCATTAGCAGTTATCTTGAAAAGATATTTAATAACACTCAAAATGTGATGCATTTAGAGTCTCTCTTCAAAAACGATATGCTTGAAAGCATATGTAAATGAGGAGGATGTCTTAGCCAGGCTTGCAAATTTAATCTCTCAGGCAATCATGCATGTCTGCTAAAAGGACTTTATAAACCAAATTCGATCAGCTTGATTTCGTATGTTTATCAGGTTTATATTGAATGGTCGCCAATGCAACACGATTAATCATAACCAATGAAATCTGTTCGAAGAATTGTGAATAGGTAGGTTGATGTTTGATTGACGCTTTCTGTTTATCCAATAGTGGGTTTTGATGGAATGTCTATTGACGATGAGTTGGATGACTTTCGCAGCATCGTCACAGTTCTCATAGATATGATGCTATCACCTTGAAAAAGAATCCGTAATTCTATACATTGCCTCACGAATCGTTGGTCTAAAGACATCGTGTAATATTCAAGAGTCTACTGGAAATATCAGTGAAATGTGTTCGAGTAAAAATGATGCTAATTAGTGATTGGAAGATGGACATATGACTTATATCAAAGATCTGGATAATTGGTATTAAGCATGATGTATAAGCGTGGAAAAGGAATGAGATAATTCCGAAAGAACTTTGCCATGGTATGGATATACTATACGGGACAGTGCATGGGCGTTAATACTGAATATATTAAGATGTGTATCGAAAACGATTTTAATGATTTTTTGTTGGATTCTACTACAAAACAACATAAAATAAATGTTGGTTATCTTGATAAAATGCCAACTTTGTTTTGTCTCTCAAATCGTTGAAATTATACAATCAAGAGTCCGGAATCTTCAGTTAACGTCTCATAGTGTAAGCCAAGTACATAAGCAATGTTGTACTATTCTTCTAGTAACTTAGGTCAAGAATAAACTGTGTGAAATAATCTCATTCTATGTATATTTCTATACTCATTTCTGTTGTTATTACCTGCTGTAAATAGATATATCGAAATTAATATCGGGTTTGTAATAATCTATAATTCAGTTCGCTTTATTTTGGTCTTGGTTATGATCGGTTCCTAATCTCCAAGCGGTATATCGATTTTATCGGTCATATATTCATTCCTTTGTAAAACATTATCCTCATCCGTACGCTTCAATGAATTCAGTTTCTAGCGAAAGTCCAGTCAATGCGACAACAAAAGTTTACTTCGGACCTTTCAATTATTTGTGGTTAGCTTGCTAAGATGTCGTGCCATGCATACTGCTTTGTGTATACCTCGAGTACCAATAAAACTCGATACCTGATATGAATTTTGTGACGGCAAAAGGCCAATCCAAGTACGTCTTCAAGTATGCATCTAAATTGCCTAAGTTTTATCGCATTTGAGCTGGAATACTTTCTACGGGTAGACTGGTGAATCTTTACTTCAGGGATACTGCAACGGTAATTGTTAATATATTTGAACTCGGCAATATCATGTACAAGGATATAAGATACAAGAATATTAAACCAAAAGCTGCTTTCATAGAGCTGATACACCGCTCCATTTAGTTCTGACATTTCATTCGATCAATTTCTGTTTTGCTCAATCGCCTCCTTGTTTTAAGATTTAGGACGTCAGCATCACTGATGTTCCAGAAAGACGAAACAGCTGTATGAGATAGGTTAGTCATTATTTTGTTCTATACTATCTAATTATGATTTTTTTAAATGAACGGTGATGTCCGACCTATGGAAAAATAGAGTAATTTAGAGATAATATCACATTGGAGTGAATACTATGGTTACCATGTGGGATGTCAGCCTCATGATATCGTAAGAATTTATGATAAAGTGGTCTGGCCAAAGACATATACCAGACTGTATAGAACAGATCGTTATTTCATCTTCCCGAAAAGCACAAATATTTCCTAACAGGGATAGAACAACAAACACTTTCACCCGAGGTTGACCGATGCTCTACCGACTGACCAAACCCGAAATACCTATGTATGGAGAGCAAGAAGGTTCTTACTCCAATGTCTTAGAAAAGGTCGGAGAAGGATACATCTGATATTATCTTTCTATGTCAGTCTAATTAATTGCAGGTTCTCATAATGAGAAACGAGTTACTTACAGTGCAACCCTCGAGAAAACTAACAACCGAAACATTTTTCTGTTCCTTTCATCAACCTGTATCACTCAGATCACATGGTTTTCTTAGCTAACGATATATGCCAAGGAAATTGTGACATTTGAAGATTGCTATATACTAACAAATTTACTTGACATTTTGCGGCTCAGATTACTTCAGATCAGACATAGGCTACTTATAACTAGAGAATGAGTGTGTTCCAATAGTAAATAACGAGATGTTATAGTATACAGTAAGAAAACTTCAAGTGTTTTTATGGGAGATAGGTTGCTCATAAGCGGATTTTCAAGATTAATCAAAAGCTCCATTCTGCTTTTTACATTCGACATACTGTTAAAATCACTATTGATGTGCATTATTGCAAGAAGACCATAAATAGATCTAAAAGTGAACAATGTGGTGAAGGAAATTTCGATAAAGGCTTTGGTGAGAGCCAGCAATAAAATGATGATATTAAAGATTCTTGTGAAACTAGGAATTCAATATCAACAGAGGGGGACCCGTATTCCGATTGTTATATAGTTCTCCGAAAAATTACAATATTTGAGCATTGTCAGTTGGAAATAGGTTTCTTGGAAAGATAAGATTATGGAGCAGTGCACATATGTAATAGTGTTTGTAGAGTTAAAAATATCAGACGTCTTGTCTGCACCTGTACATTGTTGATCAAATATGTATAATTATGTACGAGAAACAATGTATCGTATACCCATTAATTAGACATGCATGCGATAATCTAGATATCCATCATATCTATCTAAATAAATCTGCACTTAGTGCATCATATATGTAAGACACACTTAGCCGGTATGTGTAATGGTGCTACTTACTTAGATATTACTTAATATATAAGATAGTCTATACATTATATTAGATATATATCTTGTGTAAAAGTTAAATAAGATATTTTTGATTAGCATATAAGATATTTATATTTAGCATATAAGATAAACATTATACAAGATATCTAACTGGATCTTATAAAGAATAATTTCTGAAATACATCGGATATCCTTTGTCGTATACGAGATAATTGCATAATTGAAATCTCTTTTCTATGAGAGATATCATACATAGAATGCGACTTCGTGGCTGGTAAAGGAAAGCTTAAGTCTCTTAAAGAATCATTCGGAATATGCGATCAGTGACGAAAGGGATATTCTGCTCGACGATGTCGAGAAATGCATTGAGAAACGAGATTGTTTGTCCATGTCAGAACGTATTATAGGTCATAAAAACGATAAAACCCCGCTCTCCCTGTGTCAGAAGATATCACGATTTGTCCAATGACACACTCGACTTTCGTGTGACGGTGCTCGAGTTTGAAAGTTTGACAAAGTCTCGTCCCTATTTAAGATATTCTCTGCAAAACAAGACTTCGCATTATATACAAAATGGCATAACTTTATATCAAATATAGAAGATATACATAAAAAAATAAAGATTTCTCTTTGATATGAGATTTATGTAATATGTATAAGACATAGAAACACGATTTCTCTTAAATGATAAATGAGTTATAGTAAATATGATATATAAAATATATAGCGTGATATACTATTGTTTTCGTTGCGATCACAAATACGCACAGTGTCTGAGTTCAAAACATACCGAGATAAATATAAACCATTTTTGATATTTTAATCACCATCTTCCATACAACAACTAATGGTCGTTTTTTGTGTCCGTTATAAAGGGCAATCGGTGTCCAGCGGCCGAAAGGATTATACGAGACAGCTAAACTTACGCTATTGTTCTCGATTTCAGTTTATAACTTTGTATTTGTTTTATGTTATACGTATGTGATGTAATTTATGTAATATTTGTTTCTTGATAAAGGGACAGATTGTCTCGAAAATTTGACAATTCGCTCGTCCGTACTGTTGCTATTACTTTATTGATCATATATCTATTCCAGTAATACACATCCAACGAACATTTGTTTGTTAGGATCCAGTACCAATATTGGACCATACCGTCGATATTACTTACTAGATTCTATATATAGAAGATCCAGTACCAATATTGGACCATACCGTCGATATTACTTACTATATTCTATATATAGAAGATCCAGTACCAATATTGGACCATACCGTCGATATTACTTACTATATTCTATATATAGAAGATCCAGTACCAATATTGGACCATACCGTCGATATTACTTACTAGATTCTATATATAGAAGATCCAGTACCAATATTGGACCATACCGTCGATATTACTTACTAGATTCTATATATAGAAGATCCAGTACCAATATTGGACCATACCGTCGATATTACTTACTAGATTCTATATATAGAAGATCCAGTACCAATATTGGACCATACCGTCGATATTACTTACTATATTCTATATATAGAAGATCCAGTACCAATATTGGACCATACCGTCGATATTACTTACTAGATTCTATATATAGAAAATCCAGTACCAATATTGGACCATACCGTCGATATTACTTACTATATTCTATATATAGAAGATCCAGTACCAATATTGGACCATACCGTCGATATTACTTACTAGATTCTATATATAGAAGATCCAGTACCAATATTGGACCATACCGTCGATATTACTTACTAGATTCTATATATAGAAAATCCAGTACCAATATTGGACCATACCGTCGATATTACTTACTAGATTCTATATATAGAAGATCCAGTACCAATATTGGACCATACCG